ATCTAGGTCACAAGCTCTTATTACATCTGACACGTTCACAAGATCAGCGTAAACTTATGGACAAGCTTCAACTAAAGTTGTAATGTCTTACTTACTCTAAAGGTGAAACTATTCATTGAACCATGTTCTAGAAACTCATGAAAATGTAACTTATCATTATTGTTAACAATCGAGTTAGATTTCAGAAAAGTTCATACGCGCAGTTGCTGATTAACATGAGTCTTTACAAACCATAATGTCGAAAGCTATTGTATTTATTAGGAACATGGCACTAATTAGTTAGTGCTTATACCAACGTTAATGTTATAGACATAGCTTTAAAATATATATATATATATATAATTTAGAATACTTGATTGTCAATCATATTATAATATTAAAACTGCATAGACACACATGTAATAGCTAATATTCAAAGTAATCCTTTAGTTTATGATCTATTAAATATAATCTTCTGGTTTATGATTCATTAGAGATTCAAGGTAACAAAATAAATTCACTTTTCAGCTTGAAAATATAATTATAAGTTAAAAATGAGATATTACTATTAAATATTCATATATGTATCTTTTTCCACAATGAAAAACATAATATCTAATTATTACAAAACATTTATATATAAAAAGGTTAATATATTTTATGAGATTATTAAAATATCATATTTATTATACTAATGTATTTTAATGCCACTGTAAAAAAATATTTCATTTATTAGTTCTATGAAAAAAATTAACAGTTAGCCATAAACTAAATTATTTTAACAAAACAATTAAACAACCACAAAATGAAAGCTAATAGAGTTATTATTATATAACATTAGCTGGCCATTTTCTCTAATGAAATTGTACTCACATAAAAGAAATTACACCAGTATTATATAATATTCAATTTTTTTCAGATTAGATTCAACTAAATTATTTTAACAAAACAATTAAACAACCATAAAATGAAAGCATACAACCTCACTCACACCACAACAAATTTTTCATGCAGTTGACCTCTAGTAATCTTTTCTTCGCACATATCATTTTGTCAAGCAAACAACATTACACATATTAGTTCTAAATCAAATCGAACACACTACCAATACGAGTTAAACATATTATCTCCATGACCAAACAGCTTAACATCTATAAATATTATTATACATTTTTTTTTCAAATCCTAACATAAATTATGCAAAGAAAATATACGATAATATAGACATATACATCATACATAAATCATATCCCCCCCCGTAGGGCGGGCCGACACTAGTATTTTAATATAATAGACTAAATTTTGATCAGCGTTTAGAAATCACGACTTTATTTTCGGAGTTAAATATTTTTATATGAATTCATATATATAATAGTGTATAAGTCTGGAACATTCATCCGGAAATGAAGAATAAAACTGTACCAGGCCAAAAAACTTCAGCCAAAATTAAACTGAATTTCATAGATAACCAAACTTATTTTATATCTTTGGAACAAAAAAAAAAATCTAACCAAGAACCGAATGGTTACCCGAGTTTTTTTTAATACAAATTATATATTTACAAATATTAATGATATTTAATTTCTAGATAACCCATATCATAAAATATTATTTATAAACCAAATTAATCAAAAACTAAATTTAAATTAATTTTTCTATTTGAAGAAATAAAAATTATCGAAACTATCAAATATTTTTATCCGAACAACCCGAATTACGAGATATTTAATCTGAAAACCTTGAATTATTATTTTTTACCTATAAATCCAAAATTTATTAAAAAACAGAATCAAACTGAAACCAAATTGGACCCATCTTTTTAATGTTAGGCAGTTTCTTATTTTGTTACCAAATTGAACCAAAACCGAAACAATCCAATTAATTGAATAGATAGATGGCCTGCATTTTTAGTAAGAAGTTAAAGTATATATCTGAAAAAATATACTATTAAATTAATGAACTGTTTTTGTTTGGTAATTTCACTAAGAGATATGTTTTTTTTTTTCATTATGCAGGTGGAAACTAACTCGAGCACAATATGTTAACGTAAGAAAATTAGATTTATCATGATTCTTTTATCATGAAAACATTGGACTGGATCAACAGCAGTAATTATATAAATGGTTTCGTGATTTATTCTTTATTGATCAGAAAAAATCGATTGTAGCTTTTACTCTATTATCTATATCTGTATCTGAATTCTATTTTCTAGTAACCGTTATGTATTCTTAAATGGTAATAGATTTTATTAGAAACAAATATAACGTGGATGGTTTAATAAAATTAAGAATAGTTACATAAAAATCAGTTTTTAAAAGTAAGATATAACATTTATTAATTGGTTATGATCACAATTTTGATAGAATAGATTTTTAAAAGGTAATAGCTTTTATCAGAGAAATATAACGTGGATGGTTTAATAAAATTAAGAACAGTTACATAAAATAAAATTACAAAAATAAAATTAAGAACAGTTACATAAAATTCAGTTTTTAAAAGTAAGATATAACATTTATCAACTAGTCATGATCATAATTTAATAGCATATATTCTTTTCCTTGCCATGGTGTCACATATTTGGCGCTAGTTGTAGCAATGACGAATTCTTTCTTTCTCTTCAAAACTGTTTTTTTTTCTTGTCAAATCAAAATTACAGAAATATTATTTAACTACAGTTCATTACATTTAACATATATTACTATTTATTATTGGATAAAATATTTTAAATAAAAATATATAGTAAATTTTAATTCAAAAACTGAAAATTTTAATTAGTAATATAACATTTTTATATAATAGATTAATATTTGTAATAAGTATTATTTTAATTAAAGTTTTAATACTGTTAATATTTTTTAGTCATAAAATATTAGTATTTAACAAAACAATAATAATTAAAAGAATCTTGATTAATAATATAATAATAAAGAATATTTTTAGTGTAATATAAGAAATCTCCTATATATTAATTAAGAAACATTTGAAAAATTGTAACCTTAAGTTTATATTAATTAAAAAATAACTCTATCATATGTGGCACCTCTCTATGTCTTATATTTTAATTTAGAAGGATTCTAAAGCACCTCATATAAAACATAGTTTTAAAACATGGTCCGTTGGTCGCATATAAGACATATCAAACTAAATAACATATCAAACTAAATCTTCTATATATTCTTTTCTTAAATAAAACTTACGGAATTACCTAATGTGATTAAAATATATATGATTATTAATGATTTTAAATAATAAGTATTTGTTAACAATATGTATACTTTATATCATTTTTGTTTATTTTCTTATTATTAAAATAAATTACACAACTACACTAATCATATGATAAAAATTTAGATTTTTTATACATGTTGTATTTTGAAAATTTCAAAACGAGTATAAATTACTAAAACTGTTAACAATCTCACATACACTTTTGTGATCAAGATCTAATTTTTTTTATAATAAGTTACAATGATTATAAATCATATGAATAAGTAATTTTATCTTGATAGGTGTTTATGTTAATATATATATATATATATATCATATCATATGAATAAATAATATTATTTTTAATTTTAAAAAAGTTTTTAAAAATATAATTTTCTGATATTATTACATAAATAAATAAATTATATTAAATTAGTTATGAAACTTTATATATTCTAAATGAAAATATTCTACCAACTGCTTATTAAGAAAAAATTAGGGAAATCGATAATGGTCTTTCAATTAAGCACTGTGACACTTCGTTTATTTTCCATCACTCGAACACTGAAAAATGAAAAAATATATGAACCGACCCCATTAAATTCTAAGTTTTGATCTACACTTCTAATCTACTCTATTAAAATAGAGTTCTTATTTTTATCTTCTGATACAAGTTGTCATTTAAATTTGGACTCTTTCTAGAGTGTTACAAATAATACAAGTCATATAGTTGACTGAACCGCATTACTTAAAATTAAACCGGCGGTTATTTATGGGATAGAGTCTTGAGCTTACTTTTGTTTTTAAGAAGATTATATGGTTTGGTTTTTGGGCTTAGTATTAAGAAAAAACTTCAAAAACATATTGAATAAAATTTCCACTATAATGGATCAAAAAATCAATTACTATTTTCAGGTCCAAAGGTATTTAATATTTTTAACAAAATAAAATTATCTATTATTAATCACTTATTTAAATCATGTACTTTAAAACATGTTAATGTATTTTTTATTGTAAATAAAAATTACTCTGTTTTGATAAATTTCAATGGTAACTTTTAAATAGTTTATTGTTTTATTTTTCTTCAATAATTTATTATTTTTTAAAAAAAATAAATGTAAAGCAAGACCAAAAACCAAATCTAAAAACTAAAATCCAAAGCAAAAGATAAAAATACAGGTTATATTTTTGCTTTTGTTTATTTACAAAATAAAGTATTACAATTTTTTTTTAAAAAAAAAAATTGTCATCTTTTCAGTTTTAAAATAGATGTTCGATTATTTGGGATTTGTTTGTTGGTAAAATAATTTCAAACTAACTTAGCGGATCTAAAAACTAAAAATCCAAACCAAAATTTAAAATCAAATCTAAAAATAAAAATTGAAACTAAAAACTTATGCAAAACAATCATCACCACAAATTTTGGATTACTAATTTTATACCAAAACATACTTTAAATAAAGACAAAACTCAATTATATAAATTTAAATCATAAAAAAATATGCACTTGAAAAATGTGGATCAAAATCTAGTTCCAATTATTTCTGATCATACTTATTGTAAATACATATAAAAACAATCATATGTAAATGTTAAATTTCTCAATATTAAAATTTTCTATTTTAATTGCACCTTATCCTAGTCTAGAACTAAAACGGAGAAGAAGGCTCTTTATCTCTAAACGAACTAGTAGGTCATTTCTATTATCGGCCATATGATATTGGCCCATATAGCTTTAGCACATATGACATTGGCCCATCTTTTATCTCTATATAACGCTCTCTCTCTCGCTCGTCAACCTCACAGTAACCACTCACCTTGTCTACGTTTCTGAGCCTTTCCAGAGAGAGAGATGGAATCAATCGGAGTCCTTATGATGTGCCCTATGAACTCCTACCTCGAGAACGAGCTTCAGAACCGCTTCAACCTCCACCGCTTCTGGACTCTTCCGGAGAAATCCGTCTTTCTCGAAACTCATCGGAACTCAATCCGCGCCGTCGTGGGAAACGCTTCTGCGGGCGCAGACGCTCGCCTCATCGATGATCTCCCCAAGCTAGAGATCATCTCCAGCTTCAGCGTCGGCCTCGACAAGATAGATTTGGGGAAATGCAAGGAGAAAGGGATCCGAGTCACCAACACGCCAGACGTTCTCACCGAGGACGTGGCGGATCTGGCGATTGGGCTTATATTGGCTCTGCTGCGACGGTTGTGTCAGTGTGATCGGTATGTGAGGAGTGGCAAGTGGAAGTATGGTGATTTCCAGCTCACTACTAAGGTCTTCTCTCTCTACTCTTTTATTTTTTGACTTGACTACAATTTAGGGCCGGGTCTGGAGCCTAGGCAAAGAAACCGACCGGTTAGGATATCATGATTTTAAGCAATAGTTTTAGTTATATATGACACTAAAAAAATTTACACAATAACAAGTCACAAAAATTTAAATGAAAATAGATCATAAAAAAAAATTGAAAATGTCGAACACTGGATCTTAATAGACCATCTGTTCACTTTATTTATTTTTCTTCAAAATAAAGTAACTTTATAATAGAGTTGCATTCTATTCTATTCCAATAGTACTCAATTTTAGAGTGAAAAATAGAAGGATGAACCAAAAAAAAAACTCTAGACTTTTTATTTTATTTTAAAGTGAAAAATAGAGTGAGTTTGGGGCAATTTTACTCTTAAGTTTTATTTTACTGTAAAGAAATGGAGTGAGGTTTGAGATGACCTTATTAGGGCTAACTAGACTTATTTTCCTGTTATTTTCTAATTTGTTTTGTATCTTAGTTAGTGATTGGCAATGTAAACACACAGTCGCTTTTGTTTGATCAATCACAGTTTTACATGGTTACATGATAAAAGAGCAGAAGTTATAACTTATGCTGTGATTTACATATATGCCGAGTCTTAGAACTTGTACCATGAGCTGCCTTAGCTTTGATCTTCTATCGATGCTTGAGTCTTAGAACTGAATATATGCTGTGATTTACATATATGTCGAGTCGTAGAACTTGTACCACGAGTTGTCTTAGTTTTGATCTTCTATCGATGCTTGAGTCTTAGAACTGAATATTCTTTTTTTTTTCTTTAATTCAGTTTAGTGGAAAGTCTGTGGGGATCATTGGTCTCGGTAGAATTGGGACTGCCATTGCAAAGAGGGCTCAAGGCTTCAATTGCCCGATTAATTACTACTCAAGAACGGAGAAGCCTGATGTAGGGTACAAGTATTACCCAACCGTGGTTGAGCTTGCTCAAAACTCAGACATCCTCGTGGTGGCATGCCCATTGACTGCCGAGACCAGACACATTGTGAACCGGCAGGTGATGGATGCATTGGGTCCAAAGGGTGTGCTGATAAACATAGGGCGTGGACCACATGTCGATGAGCAAGAGCTGGTGAAAGCTTTAACGGAAGGGAGACTAGGTGGGGCTGGGCTGGATGTGTTTGAGCAGGAGCCACACGTGCCTGAGGAGCTCTTTGGACTTGAGAATGTGGTTCTGCTTCCTCACGTTGGGAGTGCCACCGTGGAGACACGGAATGCCATGGCTGATCTTGTGGTGGGTAACTTGGAAGCGCACTTTTCTGGGAAATCACTTCTTACTCCGGTGGTCTGAGTGGTTTCTTGTCTCTTGGCCTTTTTACTTTTATTATGATGATATTGATAAACGAAATAAATAATACTGGGAAGGTGTTAATTTCTCTGCCAAATAAAGTTGACAATCGTATGATACGGGATTGATTTAAAACACCACAAGAACACTAATTCGAGTATAGCATAAAACTGTGCCGCTTAAGACAATGTGGTAACTGTGTTAACTGTGTTAACGATCAGATCCCAAAAAGTTTATCTAACAAAATTGTTCATAGACGAGTAATTAAACTTCAGAAAATTATATTATATCTGTCATTGGTGCATACAGCAAACATCAAGCACAGTGTACAGCATAACTTTAACTACCCCTCCTTTCGAGCCTTCTTGTGCGGTTGAGTGGCTTCAGGGGACTTGCCCTTGCTTTTCTCCATCTTGTCATCTTCTTCTTCCCTGATGCATATAAACAAAAGAATCTTGGTAAATAATCAATCAGTACATCATTTGACGAAATGAGTGTTTGGTAAAAAGCCAAGTCCCAAGTCTATTATTCCATGTACTAAAAAAGGATAGTTTGGTTTGATGTCATACCCTCCCCCAGATGATAGTCTTTTCCGCACCTCTTCCTCCATCTCTCCTGAAGACATTAGTATATCGTCACTTACTCATTTTCCAACTTCCATTTTAAATAAGCCATAACTAACAAAAAGGGAACTGAGACAACTTACCATTCACTGCTTCTAAAGCAACAGAGAATTTATTTTTAACAACTACACCTCCAACAAACTCCACCGCAGCACGGGCTTTCATAGCTGTTGTTGAATCTATAAAACAAACGTAACCCGAATCCGATCCACCAGAGAACTCTATGTGCTGGAAAGAAACAATGATACGGTTAGCCAAACCCCACTTTTTAAAAGGTTGGAAACAGTTTGCAAGTATTTTACCTTAACGCTGCCAAATCTTCGGAAAACATCCTTGAGAACCTCAGTTTCCGTGCACAAACTAGCACATGATTTATCTGCCCCCAAATCGCCTCTTTCCTTTTTCTCAGCACTGTCTTCCTTCCCTTTGGTTTCATTTTCCATATTCTTGGGATTTTCTGCAAGTCACACAAGTTGCTGAGAGAGTAGCTCATCGTTTTCTTAGAGACCATGAAACGAGATAGTACCTTTATTTTCATTGGTTATTCTTTTCAGTGTAAACTTGACAAGCTGACCTCTGTGGAATCTGTAGCATCATATGTACATTAACAGAATCATATGAGCCAACTTGCTTCTCCTCCATCAACAAGGGTTATCATTAAAAAAAAAAAAAAAAGACTGACTCGTTGTGGGAGGAATCTGAAAGACTTGACCCTGAATTTTCGAGTTTCTTAATCATATTTTCTCTTTGAAGGTCAAAATCACTCCTGTATATCATACATGAAAAGTTTAGAGTCATGTTTCATGTTTGGAACAAAACAATCCTATTTCTCCCTTACTTACTTTGGTACTAATACTAAATCAGCACCGGAATAGACCAAGCTCTGCTTCAAAACATCTTCAACTTCTTGCTCAGACGATAACTCAACCAAAGCAGTACCACAAAAGTATTGCTTATCTCCGACATGGTGAGGTAGCCTCACACTATTCACCTGCAAAAAAAACTCAAATCAAAACGAGCAATGTAACAAGATTTTTATCAAGAAGCTAGTTTTTTAAACAAGAACCTTGGAATACTGGGAAAAGAAAGATGCTACATCCTCCATCTTTATACTATACTCAAAAGGTGAAGCTGCAATGGTTCTTCTGTGTACTTGTTCAAGCACCTTGTCTGGCTTGGAGAGTTTTGTTCCTCTTCCGATCCTTTGCCCTTGAATTGCAGGAGAAATCATGTCAATCAAAAATGATAACTCAGAGGCAGATTTTAAGACAAAACCGAATAGTACCATTGTCGGAAACTTTAAGAAAATCAGAAGACCGCAAGAGATTAGCTACTTCCTCCACGATACTCTCAGGGATGTCTTCGCGTTTGGTGTTACCGAGGCCAAGCAGGTTCCTCATACGAGAGAAGGAACAAACCAGAGGTAGACTAACCACTAATTTCGGTGTGAATGATGAAGGAGAAAACTTGCTTTTTAATTAAAAAAAAAAAGTCAGTTTAATGTAAAGAGAAACTGTGTTGTGTTGTGTAATATAGGATACGACCATCTTTGCTCTTGGAGACTTCCTTGCGGAGGAAACCGTCTCTTGGTAGATTACTATCACTGAAGTAGAACTCCACCTTTAACATATACATAGAAAAAAATAATAATATATTTTATTGTTGAGAACATAAGAAAATTATAGAGGAGATATAGAGAGAGATTAAGACCTGAGTTATCAACTTCTTGGCGGTTTCTTCGTCGAAGGAAGCCATTGCAGAGCAGAACGAGTTGAGAGGAGGAAGGAGAAGGAAGACGATACAATACAACATACGAGGGTTACATCTTATTTTGGCACAACGAGTGGTTCAGGCCCATCGTAAACTGGGCTTAGAGTGTTAATGGGCCAGCCTAAAAACATAAAAGAAAAACTCATTAAACTAACAAATGGGCATTTGATCGTCGAAAAAATTGCGTGGAAAATAAAACGTCATAATAAATAAAGGGATTTTTATTTGCGAAAAGTCTTAAATTAAGAGCTGATAGAAGGAAGCTCACACACCGTTTACTGCTCTTCCCCGATCTGCAACGCCATCTCTCTCTCTCTTAAGCTCCCGATTTGATCCCTCTAGCAGGTAAGCTTCTTCGATTCGCTCTCCTCGTAGGCTTCTCCGATTTGATCCTACACCAATACTTGCTTCTCGTAGTTTCGTTTGTAAACGTCACTTCTCTAAGTTTTGTGTAGATCTCAAATTGCAGGAATTGATAGACCTAGATTAGTCTCGATCTAATTTTAATTGATCGCAGTGGCGTAGAAACCCTAATTTCAATGGCCTTTTGCAGCGCACACCCTCAGATCCATCCCTAAATATAACTGCAGACCATGAATTTTTTTTTTTTTTTTGTTTCCTTTCAGATTACAACAGAGCTTCTCTTTTGCAGGATCCTTGACTAGGTCTAACAATGGCGGCGTCAGAAGAAAATAGCGCGTTGTTTCCCATTTTCATTTTGACGATCATGGCTATTCCATTGGTGCCTTATACCATGGTTAAGTTAAGCCGTACTGTCTCAATTTCGAAGAAGCAAAGGACCATTCATTGTCAGTGTCTCGAGTGTGACCGCTCTGGCAAATATAAGAGATCCTTATTTAAAAAGGTTGCATCTTGGTCAATATTGATACTCTGTTTTGATAACTTCATTGCATGTTCAAAACCTCTTAACTTGTTGATCCTTCTCTCTGCAGATCTCTAACTTCTCTACATGGAGCAACTTGACCCTTGTGTTACTATGGGTTGTGATGATTTTCTTGATTTATTACACCAAGAACATGAGCCGTGAGGTAATTTTCTTTCATCAAATCTTTCCTAAACCCAGATTATTTATGTTACCTTGGACTGATTTCATGTTGTCCAGAAGATTGTAATTTGGATGTAACACTTATATTAACACAATCTACTTGCAGACTCAAGTTTTTGACCCATTCAGTATACTTGGATTGGAACCTGGAGTTTCAGACTCAGAAATTAAGAAAGCATATAGAAGGCTGTCCATTCAATACCATCCTGATAAAAATCCAGATCCAGGTCCAAATTTGATACTTCTTCCCCCTTTAATCACTACGGAATTGTGGTTGCAGCTGTTTACTTATTTTCTTCTATGTCGATTTGTGTATTGAACTCCGCAGAGGCCAATAAATATTTTGTGGAGTCCATATCTAAAGCATACCAGGCTTTGACTGATCCAGCATCCCGTGAAAACTTTGAGAAGTATGGTCATCCAGATGGCAGACAGGTATAGATTTATCACAATTTTTTTTGGGATATGGGTTTCTATCTCATTGTCAAGCCTGTTGAAACTAAAATATTGTAATGTGATACAGGGCTTTCAAATGGGCATTGCTCTTCCTAAATTTCTCCTAGACATAGATGGAGCATCAGGTGGCATATTATTGCTCTGGATAGTGGGTGTTTGTATTCTCTTGCCCCTTGTGATTGCTGTTATATATCTCTCGAGGTCATCAAAGTATACCGGGAACTATGTCATGCATCAAACTCTTTCCGCATATTATTATCTAATGAAACCATCGTTGGCCCCAAGGTATATTCATTCATACACATACTTTCCAGTGACACTATAGGTGCATGAAAAATTGGCGTGTTTCCGTGTTTTTTGTATGACATGTTCAGAAATTTTCATTGTTCAGCAAAGTTATGGACGTTTTTACCAAGGCAGCCGAGTACATGGAGATTCCAGTTCGTAGGACTGATGATGAACCTCTGCAGAAGCTCTTTATGGCCGTCAGGAGCGAGCTAAATTTTGACCCGAAGAACATGAAGCAAGAGCAAGCTAAGTTTTGGAAACAGCATCCTGCCATAGTAAAGGTGATGTTTTAAACTAAAAAACTGTAACTTAAACTTTTTGATTAAAAGATACTCACTTTTCCATTTTTATCGACAGACGGAGCTGTTGATACAGGCCCAGTTAACTCGTGAATCAGGAGTCTTGTCTCCATCCCTGGAGGGTGATTTCAGACGTGTGCTAGAGCTTGCACCTCGCCTCCTTGAGGAGTTATTAAAGGTCTAATCTCTATTTCAATAGCAGTGTCTGATAACTAACCGTTAAAAGTCAATGCCCTGAATGTTCTACTCCTTGTTTAGAAGAAATATTTTTTTCTCTAAAAAACGAAAAGTCAAGCAAACTTTTAGTTTACATGCCAAAGGGATGCCCTTCTGGGACCAGCTTACTCATCTAATTGTTATTGGATTATCTTCCTCGTGTAGATGTAAAATACACTGTTAAAATTGGGATTTTCTTAACATCTCTGCTGTAATATTGCAATTTTCTTGCAGATGGCGGTTCTACCACGCACTTCCCAAGGTCATGGATGGCTGAGACCTGCAGTCGGAGTAGTTGAGCTATCTCAGTGCATTGTTCAGGTATGAAATTGCTCTCCCCACCAGATTTACTTCTTTCAGAAAATCAAGAAGTGGCTTAAGGTTGATGTTGAGGAAGATAAACTGAAAATTTCATAATTGCTCTCCCCACCAGATTTACTTCTTTCAGAAAATCAAGAAGTGGCTTAAGGTTGATGTTGAGGAAGATAAACTGAAAATTTCATAATTGCAGGCTGTTCCCCTTAGTGCAAGGAAGTCTTCTGGAGTCTCGTCAGAAGGAATTTCGCCTTTCTTGCAGCTCCCGCATTTCAGTGACGCTGTCGTTAAAAAGATAGCGCGAAAGGTATATTAGTACTATCCAAATGTTTCAAATGCAGTAATATTTTTGGTTACTTGAAATAACACATCATGTGCTTTGTCTGGCTCAAATTGTTTGAGAACATCTTCTCCGATTCTGCTCTCCAATAAGTAGTAGTGGTGTCCCTTTAGGTGGTTTTTCTTTCTTGTTTCTGACGACAGGTGGTTTTTGTTTGATGTCTATTCGAAGGAAACACGCAAGGGATCATTTTAGTTTTAATCGTTCACCGTATTTTGTTGTCTTGTTAAGCGTGCCATTGTTTTTTTCTATTTTCAGAAGGTTAAATCATTCCAGGAGCTTCAAGAAATGAGCGTGGAAGATCGTTCTGAACTGCTCACCCAGGTAGCGGGTTTGTCAGCAACTGATGTTGACGACATTGAAAAGGTACTGGAGATGATGCCGTCTCTGACAGTAGACATAACATGTGAGACAGAAGGCGAGGAGGGTATCCAAGAGGGAGACATTGTTACCCTTCAAGCTTGGGTCACTCTGAAACGACCCAATGGGCTCATAGGCGCTCTTCCTCACGCACCCTACTTCCCCTTCCACAAGGAGGAAAACTATTGGGTTCTCCTTGCAGATTCAGTGTCGAACAACGTGTGGTTCTCTCAGAAGGTTAGCTTCATGGACGAAAGTGGAGCCATAACGGCTGCATCAAAAACCATCAGTGACGCGATGGAAGGTTCGGGAGCTGGGGTGAAGGAAACAAGCGATGCTGTGAGAGAAGCGATTGAGAAGGTTAAAAGTGGGTCAAGACTGGTAATGGGTAAACTCCAGGCACCCTCAGAGGGTACGTACAACTTGACGTGCTACTGCATGTGCGACTCATGGATAGGGTGTGACAAAAAGACATCACTGAAGGTCAAAGTGCTGAAAAGAACCAGGGCTGGGACTAGGGGTTTGGTTTCAGATGAGGGTGCGATTGCAGAAGAAGGTATGGAGGAGGAAGACGAGATTGAAGAGGAGGATTACGATGATGATTATGAGAGTGAGTACAGCGAAGATGAGGATGACAAGAAAGATGTGGTTGAGAAGAAAGGGTCGAAGAAGGCCAATGGGTCAGCTGTTAAGAAGAAAGAGTCGAGTTCTGAAGAGTCAGGATCAGAGGAAGAGTGAAACAGTTAACATTGATACAAATACAATAGTTTAAAGGGACTTCAAATGTTGATTTTGCTCGTCTTTTCACAGTTTTTACCACTCTCAGTCTTCATTGCCTCCTCTTTTTATGTTCCTTTTTGTTTCACGTTTCTTCAGATCCCAAATGGGAGAAAACGCACCGCGAACACAATTCCGACGATAGGAAACTAAACTTATCATTTTTGTTAAATAAATTTACATAGAATTTTATTTAAATTTGAATTAGGATTAATAATCTCGGTTATCGCCGTAAAATTATAATAACATATCAAATTATCTATATGACAATACAAAGCTTCACAAAGTCCCAATTTTTTAAGTGGTATATTAAATTTGTTTGATATTATCATTTCTAGTTCTAGTTATCTGAATTGTAGCCATGTCAAATATGTACTATAGGTCTGAGCATTTCAGGTATCGGCTTGGTTCGAATATTTTGGTTATCAAAAAATGTGGGTAGGAGTTTAGAGGATTTATTTACTGTTTAACATATTTCGGTTCATTTCGGTTTGGGTAGTTACGAGTTTGGTACGGATAGTAAAATTAGGAATCATAAAGTACCCAAAACAAAATTTAATTCTCATTTGGTTTCATTCCGGTTCGGTTAGTTCTGATAGTTAATGTTAAATATTGGGTATTTTGGTTAATATAGTGAATAATTACGATTCAGATAAAAATCTTTAATAGTTTAAATTACTTTGGATATTTAGGATAAAAATATCTTTATACATTTCAGTAGTTTGGATACTTTATAATAATTTAGTGTTTAAAACTATTTTCAAATTATAAATATATATACTAAATTATATTATATATATAATTAATACTTGTATATATTTGGATATCCGTTTGGTTTTCGGTTCGATCATGGTTCGGTTATTTTGGATATAGAAATATAGGAACCATTTAGATATTTGAGGGTTCGGACCGATTCGGTTACATGTGTTCGGTTCTTCGGTTCCGATTCTTTTGTCCAGGCCTTGTACTATCTATATGAAAATGATTAAAATTCATATATATAAATAGTGGCTAATAGCAAAAATTAAATTGAAAATTTAGGAAGAAAATTTAACGGCGGAGATAATTATAGTTTTATGTTAATTATAAATTTTATATATTAGTTTTTAAAAGTACTTTATCGAATTTTTCAATTTAGTTGTCATTCTAGGTTTTTGCACACAGATTAAGAAAACAATTAAATTTATATATTTTCAAAATAAAAACACAATTACCTAAACCACTTTTCAACCAATGAAAAAATAGAATGATTTTAAAAATCAATAAATTTTGCATTGAAATTATAAAACGACACTTATTTTGAAACGAAAATTTTACTCTAGAATGACATTTAATCTGAAACGGAGGAAGTATTAAATTTGCACCAGTAATGTAATAGAAAACACCAAAGTTGAGGTTATGGGCAATATACCCTCGGGTATGAGATGGATCATTAGGAATCACGCTGGAAATTTCTTAAATGGAGGCATGGGGTCTCTTTGAAGGCCGACAAACATTTATAGAGCCAGAGTGCACATCTTTGCTTTGGGCAATACAATCATGCTGGGGTCTCGGGTATCAACATATTATATTTGAACGAGATAATGCTAGTCTCATGCAGATAATCAATGCAAAAGAAACCAATCGTAAACTCCTACCAATAACTCATATGATTTATACTTGGCTTGATAGTTTTGGTGGAATTGGGTTTATTCATCAAAAGCGATATGGGAATCGATGTGCAGATAGATTGGAGAAATCACATTTAACCATTGTTGAACACTATAACATTTATTATTCTTGCCCATCTTTTATAAAATCGATTGTAATAACATATGCCGATTAATAGAATACTAGGATAAGACATGCGCCTTGCGGTGAATATATGTAACTAAAATATAAAATTTTAGTATAGACAAATTTAAAATTTACATATGATTGTTTTTATATGTATTTGAAATTTTAGAATTTTGGAATTTTTATATAATTATCTATACATAGGATCAGAAAATTGTAATTAGAACTTTAGATCAAAGCTTATAATTTAATAGACCTGACTTCATATATCTTTTCACTTTTCAGTATTCGAGTGATGGAATATAAACGGAGTGTCAGTGGACTTGATTGGTAAAGTATTAGTAAGTTCTCTAATGTTTTCTTAAGAAGCAGTTGGTAAAATACTTACATTTAAAATATATAAGTTTCAAAACTAATTTGAACTAATTTATTTATTTGTTTAATAATATTAGAAAATTATATTTTTTTTACAATTTAAAAAAAAATTTAGAAAAAATTAAGTTAAATTTTAAATTATTTTTAAAAAAAATATTTTAAGTTTTTCAAATACAAATAAACAATTTAAATTAAAAATGATTTTAAATATGGTCATGATTTAACATAACCATAATGATTTTAAAAATTAAAAAATTAAAAATTAAGGAGAAAAAATAAAGATTTTTATTATATGATTAATGTAATTGTGTAATTTATTTTAATAATAAAGAAACAAAGAAAATGAGAAAAAATATACAGATTTTTATCAAATTTTTATTGTTTAAAATCATTAATTGTCATATATATTCTAATCACATTAGGTAATTCCTTAGGTTTTATTTAAGGAAAGTATGCAAAACAATAAATTTGATATATGCGACCAACTATAGCCTACAAAATATAATATTGCTAAAGAGTTTAAATTTTAGACTATACATTATATCACATGCTCTAGAATCCTTGGAATTTCAAATAGAAACCAAAGAGCTATGTCACATAGGATTAAGGTTATTTTTAATTATTACAACTTAAGGTTACAACTTTTTAAATGATTCTCAAATAATATATAGGAGATCATATATAATATATAATATATAATATATAATATATAATGTAGATGCAGATAATACATTCATACATATAAATGCACATGCTTGTGCTGCATATATAATATATAATGTAGATGTAGATAATACAGTCATACATATAAATGCACATGCGTGTGATGCGTATGATCTCCTATATATTAATTGAGAATCATTTAAAAAATTGTAACCTTAAGTTTGTAAGAACTGAAAATAACCTCAATCCTATGTGGCATAACTCTTTGACTTCTATTTCAAATCCCAAGAATTCTGGAGCATGTGATATAATGTATAGTCTAAAAATTATACTTTCTAGCAATATAATATTTCGTAGGCAATAGTTGGTCGCATATATCAAATATTTATTATTTCGCGTGATTTCCTTAAATAAAACCTACAGAATTACCTAATGTGATTAAAAAAAAAATATATATATATATATATATATATATATATATATGACAATTAATGATTTTAAAACAATAAAGATTTGATAACAATCTGTATACTTTTTCTCATCTTGTTTATTTATTTATTATTAAAATAAATTACACAGTTACATTAATCATATAATAAAAATCTAGAATTTTTGTGTATGTTGTATTTCGAATTTTTCAAAATAAGTATAAATTACTAAAATTGATAAAAGTCCCACATAAACTTTTAGGATCAATGTTTTATTTTTTTTCTATATATAATAAATATAATGATTATAAGACAATATGAATAAATAATTTTAGTTTATATATATTTCATATCGTTTTAATTAAACTATACATCGTATGAAAATACATACTTATATTTTGATATTTGCCTTAAACATATATTGAAAAGTTAATATTTTAATTTTAAAATATGTCATTATTTTTTAAAATGATTATAAATTATTGAAACTACTAAACATCTCACATTAAAAAAAATCGTTGGTGTAAAGTTTTGTTACAAAAATATGCAAATAATCATAAAATCATATGAGTAGAAACCTCATTTAATAAATATCCATATTAATAGTGTGCTAAATTTAATTATATATCATATACAATATATAAGATTGATTATTTTGATTTATATACCCTAATTGCGAATAAACAAGAGTGATAGTTAAATTTATATGCATACGCCAATTTATTACATAATAGTAACTGATTTCTTAGTTATTTAATATATATATTTTTATTTTATTATTTTATAATATGCAGAAAAATAAAAAATAAATAAAAAATAAAAAATGTTTATTGTGCGTAAAGTGCAGATCTTAACCTAAATATGTATCTCTTTAATTATTTTAAATCTTAAGTATTTTCTAATTTCGAGGTCAAAACAAACAAACGAAATCAGAATAAAATTCAAAATAAATATTTATATCGAATAATAACCAAAGTATAAAAAAAACACAACAAGAGAAAAATTGAAGATAAATAGGATTGACACGTGAATGTAAACTTCTCATAACCATAATTAATTTGTAAATTGTTAAATCATGATATAAAACTGAGTTAATTTTTAATATGTTAATTTTTTTTAAATCATTATGGTTATGTTGAATCATGACCATAATTAATTTTAAATTGTTTATTTGTATTTGAAAAACTTAAAATATTGTTTTAAAAATAATTTAAAATTTAACTTAATTTTTATAAAAATATTTAAAAATATAATTTGTAAAAAATATAATTTATAATATTATTTAACAAATAAATAAATTATATTAAATTATTTTTGAAACTTTATATATTTTAAATGCAAATATTTTTTACAAACTGCTTCTTAAAAAAATATTAGAGAATTTGCTAATACTCTACCAATTAAGCCATGTGACACTCCATTTATTTTCTATCACTCGAACATTGAAAAGTGAAAAGATATATGAAATCGGGTCCATTAAATTATAAGATTTGATCTACAATTCTAATTATAATTGTTTCTGATCGTACGTATAGATAATTATATAAAAATTCCAAAATTATAAAATTTCAAATACATATAAAAACAACCATGTGTAAATTTTAAATTTGTCAATCCTAAAATTTAATATTTTAATTACATATATTCACCATTCGCATTGCGCATGTCTTATCCTAGTATTAATGTAAACCGAGTTTTATAGTCTTACTTTTAGATGCACATGCGTGTGATATTAATGTTTCCCTAGCGAAATATATAATCGATTTTGGACCTACATCTTTTCCAATTGAACCTAAAGCTACCATGTCAGTTTAATTGACATGTTAATTGATTGACAACTTAGTAAGGTTACTTTTTAATTAATATAAATTTGAGGTTACATCTTTTCAAATATTCCTCAATTAATATATAGGGAATTTTGGCCGGGAAAAAAGTAAAAAATAAATAAAAAAGTTGAGGTTATGGGCCTTGTTTTAACAAGTTATTGGGCTTTTACTATTGTTTGAAAGGGTGTTGCAGTCAGTGGAAGCAAGACGCCGCAATGCCCTAAAAGGCGGGAAAATCAAGAGAAAAGCCGCGTCCTCTCCTCTCCTCTCCCGGAGTTTATAGCCTTTTCGTCTTCTCTCTCACACAACCTCCGTTGCCGCTCTGTTCTCCGGAATCCGACGAGGGTTCCTTATCAGCGGGGGAAGATAGAAAAAAAAAAGCAAACAAAAATGCCAGTTTACAACATCAGAGGAATCAATGTCGATTTCCCATTCGAGGCCTACCCTTCTCAGATCACTTACATGGACAGAGTCATCGAGTCTCTCCAAAACGTAACTTACCCTCTCTTTTGTTTGTTTCACTTATCAATTTTATTATGCGCCGGTTATTACGTTTGCTATCTTACGCTAATAGTATGTGTGTTTTAAACGATGCTGCAGAAATGTCACGCGCTCCTGGAGAGTCCTACAGGTACAGGAAAAACTCTTTGTCTTCTCTGTGCCACATTAGCCTGGAGAAAGAGTCTCGGAAGTTTCTCCACCCGTAAAGATCGGAACAACAGTGACTCTCCTTGGACTGATTCAGATCAGCAAACGTCTCAATCCCAATCCTCCTCCTCTTCCGGAGGGTTTCCGAAAATAGTTTATGCGTCTAGGACTCATAGTCAACTCCGTCAAGTGATTAAAGAACTTAAAAGATGCAGTTACAGGTTCAGTAGTCCACGTCATCAATTGGCATTTTTAGTTTGTTGCAAAACTTCATTGGTTCTAATCTTTGATGTTATCTCATTTAAAAGGCCTAAGATGCTCGTGCTTGGATCACGTGAGCAGTTATGTGTTAATGAGGAAGTTAATTCATTACGAGGAAAGGCACTCACTAATGCTTGTCAGTACCTTTGTAAAAAACGTGGTAAACGCCACTGTAACCATTTCAATCGGGTTCCAGGTACTATTCTTGCGTCTTGCTACATTACTACCATGAAACAAGTATTGTAAATGCGATGAATCTTTTTTAGATTATTTGAAGAATAACTCTCATATTGGAGACGAACCTGTTGACATTGAGGATTTGGTCAATATTGGGAAAGGTTCTGGACCGTAAGTTTCCTCTGTTTCTTGGCTACTTTTAACGTATTTTTGTTGATGTTTTTCTTTACGTTGCTGGCTTGTATATATTTTGCAGATGTCCATATTATATAACGAGAGAGGTTCATAAAGACGTGGACATCTTGTTTGCGCCTTACAACTACTTGATCAGCAGTGCGTATAGAAAGTTTTTGAAGATTGATTGGAATAATGGCGTCCTGATTTTTGATGAAGCTCACAATCTAGTAAGTGGGATGTTCATGTTCCACTTATCATTTTCGTCTGTGCTTACAAAGTTTGAAAGACTCAGTCATCTTTAAAATACGCGCAGGAAGGTTTATGCGCAGACTCAGCTTCATTTGACCTTCCTTCGGGGCTTTTATCGGCTTGCATTATTGAGGCACAAGAATGTGTAGATCTTGCGTCAGCAAGAAGAGGTTCATTAAATGACGCGTCCATGAACCCTGAGACTTTTGCTATACTTAAAGGTTAAACTCGAGCTCTTGACTCTGAGTACAATGATCTGTTATACTTGAACAAAATTGACATGTCTGTTGTCATATATGCGTCGCAGGACTTCTTTTGAAGCTGCAAGAACTGATTTCTAAAGTGCCAATTCCGAAAAGGGACGAGGGATTTACCAAGCCTGGGCCTTACATATACGAAATGCTTAGTACCCTTAACATCACTCACGAAACTGCTCCCAAACTCATTGATACAGTCGAGGAGGCTACAGTGCTTCTTGAAGAGGAGAAACAACGAACAGGAACCAACGCTGGAAGCAAACTAGAAATCATTGTTGACATGCTTAAACTGATCTTTAGAGAAAATGGAAGTAGCCATGCAGATGTTTATCGTGTAAGTGTAAAGCAAACTCTTCTTTTATTATGTGTCGGACTATATAACTAAGTTGTAAAGATACTTATCTCTCTCTATTGCCCACCTACCTCCTTTGTACTCATAATTTTCACTTTCGTTATTTGTTAGGTTCATATTCAGGAGCATGAGCAAAATCCTTCTGATATCATAAAAGGTAAATAAGAGTGGGTTCGTCTATAGCCTTGAAATTCAAATGATACTGCATTCCCAAAGCATTAGCAGAAGTATTACTACATTGAAATATAACAATGTGCTTTCCGTGTGGAAACGGTTTTTTTGGCAAATCAGTTACAACTTTGGACAAAATATTATTTTGGTAGGCAAGGTATCAAGAACGCTTAGTTGGTGGTGTTTCAATCCTGGGATTACCATGCAGGACATAGCAAAAAAAGGTGTTGGGACTATCATTTTAACATCGGGAACCTTGTCCCCCATGGATTCACTGGCTCAAGAACTAAAATTGTGAGTATATTGATATGGTTTCTTTCACTCACTGTTCTTCTCTATTTGCTTTTTCCTCCAGCTTTTGATGGAAACTTTTTTTTCCCTTGAAAATGCAGAGACTTTCCTATTCGTTTGGAGAATCCCCATGTTATATCCTCAAATCAGCTATGGGCTGGAGTTGTAAGCACTGGTCCATCAGGGTGTCTTCTTAATTCTAGCTACCGAAATCGTGATGTACCGGAGTACAAACAAGAACTTGGGAATGCTATTGGTAAGTGGTTTGCTATTTTGTAGTTAATAATGAAGTGGCTTGAATGTATCACTCTGAATTTCTGATGTGTGAGATCTAAAATTTTGGAGAGCTCGTCTGAAAATTAGAGCTACTATCCTTTATAACTATTATATGTTTTTGCTCTGCAGTTAACTTTTCTCGAGTCGTACCTGATGGACTGCTGGTCTTTTTTCCATCCTATTACCTTATGGACCGTTGCATTACATTTTGGAAAGATGGGGTATGACCGTTGTAAATTTTCTTCTTAGTATGAAGATGGTAGTACTCTTTTACTTGAAACTTTACTGTTTCTTCATCATTCAGGGTCACAGAAACTCGATGACAGTATGGGAAAGAATCTGCAAACTGAAGAAACCTGTCATTGAACCTAAAGATTCTTCCCTCTTTCCTGCTGCAATGCAGGTGAGCAAGAGATGCCTCTGATCGACGTCTTTGTTTTCGAAAAGACTGAATTTGATTCCTTAATCGTGCCTTGAATATTTTTTAATGATAGGACTTTTCAGATAAGTTGCAAGACAGATCAATTTCTGGTGCGATATTTTTTGCCGTTTGTCGTGGAAAGGTATATATATTCTTAAACCTGTATAAAAATGTGCTTTTCTGTCATAAATGATACTCTGAGTATCCATATTGACTGTAAGAAGATGCTACAAGGAATAGGAGGTTACTAGTTTTAAGTTTCTCCTATGTAGGGTCTTTTCAGTACAGCTGGTCTTTTTGTGTTGTCAGGTTAGTGAAGGATTGGATTTTGCTGATGGCGCTGGCAGAGCTGTTGTCATTACGGGATTACCATATGCTAGGGTGACTGATCCCAAGGTTTGTTTACTCTACCCTCTACAGTTTTGTTTTGAAAATATATAGGCTCATTAGCTAAATTGATAGCAAAGTCCAGTGAAAGGCTTGTTCTGTTTGAGAGCTTCTTTCTCGTATTTTTTCCTCTCCTTGTTCTGTATGATACTTTTTTCTACATATTGCTCATCTTCTGCTAGCTTTTAATTTTATGTTTCCACGTGCATTCCGGCGTTAATATCCCATTTGCAAAACAGATTAAACTGAAACGAGAGTTTCTGGATGAACATTTACAAGTTGCAGATGTCAAGGTAAGTTCGATATTTACTCAGTTTTTGACTCATCAAGGTTATGATATCGCTTACATTTTTTTTAGTTGCCAAGATCAAACCTTCTATCTGGAAGCATGTGGTACAGTCAAGAGGCCGCACGGGCTGTGAATCAGGCAATTGGACGTGTTATCCGCCACCGCCATGATTATGGAGCTATCATTTTCTGTGATGACAGGTTTTTTTCTGGCTTCCTGCAAGGATTTTCATTATGCTGCTTTTGGTTGATTTTATTTTTCTAAGCTATACTCGCTATTGTATCCATCAGAGACAAGAATCTGTGCTCAATCTTGGGTTTTAATTTGTATCATTCTCGTTTGTTTTGATTATTTTGTACATTGGCTATTGTTGACAGATTTGAACAGCCGTCCCAGCAGACCAAGATATCCCTTTGGATACGACCGTATGTCAAGGTATATGTTCCGGCTCGGTCTCGCCTCTGTTTTTTTTGTTTTTATGTGGAGATTAAGTTTGTTTCTGGTTACACCGGTTTTGCAGTGCTACCCAAGATATGGAGAGGTCATTTCTGACCTTGCTCGGTTTTTCCGGACTGAAAGACCAAATATTCCTGCAAGGCTTGTAACAGAACAAGAAGACGATACAGGTAAACGCATCTTGCAGCCAAACGATAACTTCCATTGAGATATAATTGCTTATCTTGTATTCACAAGAACTTCGTGATATATATTTTCCTATTTTGAAGTATATGTTTGACATCTAATGTAAACCAAATCTTTTCCAATACAGTTTCAACTTTGTTACCAAAGGTGTCAACCAAGGATGCTCCTACACCAACCGCTGGTCAGTGATTCATTCTCCTTCATTCTCGTGGCAAGACATGGTAAAAAATGTGGATCTAACTTCGACAGTCTATATTGCAATTTTGCTTTGGGCATTTGATCTTTTGCAGGTAGTAGTAATATGAAGAACGCCGGCATTGCAATAAATGAATTGATTAGACTGGAATCACTTCCTCCTGCAAATCGGGCTTTACCGCCGTCGGAGGGTGGTGGAAGTAGTGTTAAATGGAAAGGCTTGACCATCCTACAACGCAAGAGTAAGATGCCTCGCATTGTAAAAGGAGAGGGTATGCAAGCTTGTTCTGCAGGGAAGGCTAAATTAGTGGAAATAAGTGACGATGAGATTCCAGTAGAGAGAAGGAAATGTGAAGTAGTTGATCTAGAAAGCGACAAGTGTGAGAAGCAGACTTGTGAAACAGAAACAACTGCATCGAGCAATTGTTTCAACACAATGGGGCTAGTAAAAAAGCGAAAGGTTCCAGAGAGTCAGGGAAGTGGATCGTCCTCAGTGTTGAAAGAGAAAGGGTGTGGAGGTGGTGGTGATAAAAAGGAAGCAAGTGCATCTGCATTTTTGAGTCAAGTTAAGATCCCACCACCCTCGTGTTTTCTTTTCTTTTTGTATATCAAGATACTTTTGTCATTGCAACTGGTGATTTTACCTTTAGGTCAAAGAAAAACTAAACGCAGAGGAATATAACAAGTTCATTGGATACATCCAAGCATTGAAGAAGAAAGAGATAAAATTATTAAGCGTGATGCAAGCCATTGTGCAACTGTTCTGTGGGAAAGAAAGAGATCATCTTCTCATTGGGTAATTAAACTTATAATAATAATGTCTTGTGTGTGAGCAATTATGCCACTGTGTTCTCTAATATGTTGTAGCTTTTCCCTCGTGTTTTTAAAACAGGTTCAAGGACTTCGTGCCAGAAAAATTTCGTTCTGCATATGAGCAATGCATTAAAACGGTGAAAAGAGATGCCTAATGATCGATCATTCATTCATCCATCCATCTTTGCCAAAAAAATTGTTCCTTTATCCTTCTTTTTTGATCCTGGACATTGTTTGTTACTCTTGATTGTTTTTTGCCAAGTAAAGCTAATTCGCATTAACTTCATATACTGTGTACGTGTATATCTTCATTTTAACCAATACATTTAAATGTTATCTTTCTTTGACTTTAACATCCTTTAATAGGAAAATAAAGGCAAAGTGAAGATTCGATTTTAAACTAAATTACCTGTGTTTTCTTATATTTTAGACAGCTATTGAGAGTATTCTTTCCATTCCGTGTTACGTTATGTGACGTGAGGATTAGGAATGATATTGTAATTAGGGAATAGAAGAGGTATATTCTTTACAAATCAGAGCGTCATCTCTCAATGCTTGCGTACTTTATCCGTAACTGACAGTGTGTTTTTAAAAAGACATGCTATTATATTACTATGATTTAGCTAATAAACCTTTTTAATTTATGAATATTTTCAAATTCATTCTAGTAGGAACATGGCAAATGCGGGTTTATAAAGCTGAGTGGTGGATGGGCTGCCGAAGCCCAACAAAAGTGTGTCTCTGATTCACCCAGAAAGGAATATTCAACAAATAAGTTAATGTTTAATTTAAAACAAAAAGAGAGAAAAAGAAAATTAGGAGTCACGGGAGATAGGATAATGGGCGACACGATCACTCGTAGGCGTTGCTTCCGGTGTGAATGCGACACACTTAATACTTTCTCTCTCGAATATAATATTACTACTGATTTTTACCTTTTTTCTTTTTTAAAAAAAAATAAACAAAAGAGGGAAAATCAGTTTTATACTCTGCAACAATACGACTCTTGTACGTATTCTCTCTCTCTTCGCTTCTTAAAAATCACACAGTACCACACCACAAGAAAGAAAAAAAAAACAATAATTAAGTGAAAGAGAGAGAAAAGAAGATAACGACGAGGAGAAGAAGAAGCAGGGTCCCCAAAATAGTCGTCTCCGTTCCCTGATTCTTGTTCAATTTGATATCTCATTCAACTTGCATTTGGCTTTCCTCTAATCTGGAGCATTTGATCAAACATCCATGGTATCTACTCTTTTTTGACCAAAAAATACTGCGATTATCCATGTCTTCTTTTTTTTTTTTTTTTTTTTTTTTTTTTTTTTCACGTGGGGAAATCTCACCCAGGAATCCCTGAAGGCGGAGTCGAACCCCGGTGCCTTGGATACCACTTAGCCACTAGGCTAAGGCTGACCCTATCCATGTCTTCTTTAATCGTTGTTTTCTCAACTGTTTCCTTGAGGTTTTCAGTGTTGATTCACTATACAGTTGATTCTATAAGCGTTTACTTGTGTAGTTTATTTTCATCTATTAGAAACCATTACCAAGTTGTTGTGTGTGTCTGATCTGAACCCTCATTTTTGGATTGAATGAAGCAGATAAAATATATTAGATGCCGTTTTTTTTTTGAACCAGATTCAAATAGATTGTGTTTTTTTTTTTCTGTTTTGTTTCTGATGCTATGCTTTTTAGTAACACTGTTGTTTAAATCCTGAATGAGAAAGTATTGTGTTTTTTTTTTTGTTGTTGTTGTAGGAATGAATGACTTGTTATAATAAATCATCCAAAGCTTAATAAATTATAATTTGGAATGGCTGAGGCTGATCCAGACTCCTCAGATACATCTGACTCAGTGGTGGATCTGAAACCCCCACTCTTTAGCATCCCTCGCTTTTTTGTTGCTAAAGACTCTGATGCAGCAGCAGCAGGGAGGAGCCCTACTTCTCCCCTTGATTTTGCAATCTTTGGTGGCCTCTTTAGCCCCAGGTCTCCCTCATCTCCCAGATTTGCCAACCGAACCAAATGGGCTTGTGACAAGGTTGGCCTCTCTCTTCTAAGCTCCAGCGCTGGAGAAGAAAGCCATGAGGGTTTATTCAGAAGGGACAACATCGTTCTTGCCCCTCAAATCAAGCCGAGGCTGTTTGGTTCCACTTCGTTGCCTAAGAACTATGCTGCCCCTTCCATGTCTTCTGATGCCTTAAACATTCATCCTCTTCCGTGTGATGATGATGCAACCGCTGGTGTATGTGACTCAGAGGAACGTAACTCCTCTCCAAGGAGGTCAAGCTCATCTCCTATGGATATTATCTCCAGCCAGGCTTATTCTCGGTCGCTCTCTGGACGTGAGATAGCACTCTCTGAGGACTATACCTGTATTATTTCTCATGGGCCAAACCCGAAAACAACTCATATATTTGGTGATTGTATCCTGGTTTGTGACCCCAAAGAGTTGGGAACCAAGGATGATGAAACTGAGAAAGCACAAGGAGATGACGATTCTTTGAGATGGTTATGCACCGACAAAACTCAGAACCACCACAGGTCTGGCTTGTACTTAAATGATAATGATAGAGAAATGTGTGGTCTTAAATTAATAAGAGAATAACATTTCTGTTTCTTTTTTTTTTAAATTAGCAGCGAGGCATTAACAACATCAGAAGCAGTAGAGAAGGAAAGTGGCAAGGGAGGTGATGAAGATTGTTTGGAGATATCGCCTGGATCAAGTTACAACGAGGATCTATTTCCTATGGCTTCTTAACCCACAGGCAAAGCTGTTCATTCTTGATGCTTTTTGGGGAAGATCTTGTGTGAGTTTAGTGTTGTTTTTGGGATTTTTCTGCGTGCTCAATAAAAAAGCTTTGTCTGATTCAAGTGTGGGTGAGTTTTGGTGTGGCCTGATGCCCCCGGCTCATCCTTTCTTTTTGTGTTGTTGTACCATTTGTATTTGTGACTTGCTTATTATCATCATTTGAACTTTGAAGGGAACCACCATTTGTATTCTCTTTCAATTATTTTTCAAGACTATACCGAGAGTACCGCACCGACTATGTAAACATGTACTAGTGAATTGAATGAATGGGGATTCTACTTTCCTTCATTTTTTGTGTTCTTCTTCACTTCTTTGCTTGGACCACACAACAAAAGACAAAAAAACAAAATACGACCACAGTGGGAGTCGAACCCACGACCTTTTGATCCGAAGTCAAACGCGCTAATCCACTGCGCTATGCGGTCTTTACAATACATTCCTAAAGTAATACATAAGAGTTTTTATTTTTCCGGATGATTTGTTGCTGGTGATACCAAGAAAGCTTTCCTTCTCTCTCTTTCACGCTGCAAATCGTTTCGTTTCCATCGTCATAAGGAAGGATCGATCTGGCGTTCGTGCATCTCCGACTCAACGGATCCCGATAGTTTCCTTCCGTCATCTTTAGGTGCGTTTTCCGGGCGATCGTAATTCAGTGGAAACCAAAACCTAGGGATTCCGACGATCTTGTAGAATTGTTTGTATATTTGATTACTTTGTAGCAGTTTCCGGATCCGGGTTTCAGGAGGAGATCCGATTCTAGATTCCACAGGGGATTCATTCAGTCTTTGATTAGCCAGCAATGTTCTATGGCACAGCAGTGTGGGACCCATGGCTAATCGTTGGCCAGATAATCTGCCTCCAATGCTCCTTTTACCTCTCTCTCGGAGTCTTCATGATTCTCTTTCTTGGCCTTCGCGTTCCTCGCCTTAGTCTTGTCTACTTCTTCGATTACGCTACTCTCACTACCTCTACCGTCACCGGTTGGTGTGTCATTGCCTCTTTCCTCTTCACTTCACTTGCTGGGTTAGTTTGTTAGAGAACCTCTTTTTTTTCTTTTTTTTTCTTACATTTCAATAGACTCCTGAATATTTGATTGATTGATTTTGCTATATACTTAGGGCTGTGTACATGATATTTGTGGTGGAACGAGCACGGAAATGCCTTGATTTCTCTGCGACTCTCTATATCACACATCTCTTTTTGTGCATCGTTTATGGAGGATGGCCTTCGTCTATGGCATGGTGGGTTGTTAATGGCACGGGGCTTGCTGTTATGGCATTGCTAGCTGAGTATCTCTGCATTAAACGGGAGCAGCGAGAGATTCCTATGGATCGTTTCCATTCAAGTATGATACACTCATCACTTTCTTTGTCATTTGAAATCTCTCTTAGATTAGTGCACAGTATATTATACTAATCAAGTTCAAATGACTGTCTAATCTATGTAGGGGTTTGATGGTATGGTGTATGATGAACAAGTGATGTATGTACAGAGATGAGAATTGGGCAAAAGAAGAAGTTCAGCCATGTTGGATCACACTACCTCTACCCTGCAGCTTTAGTCACTTTTAACAGATTTGGAACACGTTTCTTTGTTGCATCCTTTTCAGTTATATGGAGAAAATAAACCATTTAGACTCTCGAATGCTTTTAACGTTGCTTCGTGCGTGAACCATCCGACAGTTTGTTATCTTCTCATTCATTTTTTTGTACTTGGATACTTGTCTCCAATCAAGATATTACTTGCTTAGCGTGACTATTCTTCATCATACTCTATTAAGTCAGTTAAATCCTCAAAATCCAATTTACTGTTCTTTTATAATCTCTTCTTGTTGATTATAAATAGGTACTTTTGTGTGTATATACTATTAGATCTGTGTGACAGCTCTGGTTCAGCCAAATTTTAGTAATATCTCATACGGTATTCAATGTTTGGACTTTGGAAGGATTGGAATAAGAAATAACGCGTGATTTGATAAGTAAAAACGACGTCGCATTAGTGAGAGAGACGTTCAGATCTAAATCGGATCACCTCGCTGCCAACAACACGCGCACTGGAGAGAAGTAGAATCACTCCCACATCCCAACGCCTCTGCACTCCCTTGTCGTTGCATTACTCATCTTCTTCTCCCCTGCGATCATCAAGCCGATCTCCCGTAGAGACATTCGTTTTGAAAGATGGTTAGTGATATCATCTCTCTCGATTCTCCCCCCCCCCTAGATCTACTTCCCAATTTTTATTTGGAACATCACATGATCGTCTCTCGACGAAAGAAGTGTGCTGCATTGCACTAGAATTGATATTTCTGTAACTCACTACCTAAATCGAACGCTAAAGGTCTCATGCTCCTCGATGATCGAAACAAAAGTTTGGATCGATGAGTTTTTTTTTTTTAGGTTTATTGTTACTCTCCAGAAATGAACTAACTCGTTACTGTGTGTTTTGATTTGCTCGAGAAAATTAGAAGAATATCATCAATTTGTACGAGCTCTTTTTTTGTCCGGCACTAACTTACATTTATGTTTTCTTTGGAATTCTTCACAGCCTCTGAGACTCGAAATCAAGGTAATGCGTCGATTTGGACCTCTTTATCTTTCTTTTAAGGTTCCTGATTGATTTTTTCGTGCTTATATGTTTTGATCAGCGAAAGTTTCTTCAAAGATCAGAAAGAGTCAAATCTGTGGATCTCCATCCAACCGAACCATGGTAATTTTGAAATGCATTCTCCATTGCTTTGTATCTTTCTCAGTTTTTTTTATTGTTGAAGGAAACTTTAATCTGTTAACTGGTAACAGGATCCTGGCAAGTTTGTATTCTGGAACAGTCTGCATCTGGAATTATCAGACACAGGTAAGTATCCCATCATCTCTGTCTTACTTGATATCTTATACTCTTCCTGATTTATAACTCTTGATATTTATGACTTTCCAGACTATGGTCAAATCTTTTGAAGTGACTGAACTGCCTGGTATGATATCAACAGTCTTTCATTGTTACTATTCCTTTCTTCTTATGATTACACAAAGCATTCTCTGGTCTCTGTGCATTTGTTGAGTCTATGTGATTCTTGTGCAGTTCGGTCAGCTAAGTTTGTTTCACGCAAGCAGTGGGTTGTAGCTGGAGCTGATGACATGTTTATTCGTGTCTACAACTACAACACAATGGATAAGATCAAAGTGTTTGAGGCTCATGCTGATTACATTAGGTGTGTTGCTGTTCATCCCACCCTTCCCTATGTCTTATCATCATCTGATGATATGCTCATCAAGCTCTGGGATTGGGAGAAGGATTGGATTTGCACTCAGGTTTTCGAAGGCCATTCCCATTATGTTATGCAAGTCACTTTCAACCCCAAAGACACCAATACTTTTGCTAGTGCATCCCTTGACCGTTCCATTAAAGTGAGAGACTTGTCTGCGACTCTTAAAACCCATGTTATTTTTCCGTTCACAGTATGAGAAGCTAAACATTTCTCCTGTTTTTACATCTTTTTAATCTAGATATGGAATCTTGGTTCTCCGGATCCAAATTTTACTTTGGACGCACATTTGAAAGGGGTCAATTGTGTTGACTACTTTACTGGTGGGGACAAGCCATACCTAATCACTGGTTCTGATGATCATACTGCTAAGGTCTGTACTAGTTTGTCTTGCTTTTTTGCAAGTTGTTTGCAATATATGTGGTTGTATGTTTTTCCATTTGTATTGCTTGCATAGGTTCCTCCAGGATTTTCTATTGCTCATAAATGTCCTCTGCAAGCAGGTGTGGGACTACCAAACAAAGACTTGCGTTCAAACACTTGAAGGTCACACACACAATGTTTCTGCAGTGTGTTTCCATCCAGAGCTCCCAATAATTATTACGGGATCCGAGGATGGAACTGTTCGCATATGGCATGCCACCACTTACAGGTAACTCGTAATATATCTATCGGAGCTAATATTGGTTCGATTTTAAAAGTTTTCTACAATTTTTTAGAGTCCTCTAAGTAGTTTCATGATTCATCCAATTTTACTTAATATTTGACCTTTAGGCTTGAGAATACATTGAACTATGGCCTTGAGAGGGTTTGGGCTATTGGACACATGAAAGGTTCACACCGGTAAGTTTCTGAACGCTTACGATGTCAGTACTTATGCCCTGCCAAAGGTACACTTATCTTCACATATGATTCTTTACTAATACCATATCATTTTCCAGGGTTGTAATTGGTTATGACGAAGGGTCCACAATGGTGAAACTTGGCCGTGAAATACCAGTGGCTAGTATGGACAACAGTGGGAAAATTATTTGGGCTAAACACAATGAGATACATACTGTGAACATCAAGAGCGTTGGCTCAGATGAGGTATGGGAACACTTTTTACATAGTTTCTTTTCTTAGATATAAAAACCAGCTTTGGCAATGTTTATCATTTGGTTGTGGACTTACTTAGGTCACTGATGGTGAGAGACTGCCTTTGGCTGTTAAAGAGCTAGGGACTTGCGATCTTTATCCTCAAGTAAGTGGCATCCTTCTTGTATACGTTGTCACTTGCTTTAGGTGATGGAGGGAATATGATTTCACTTCTGTGGCTTTTCATTTTCTTACATTTGTTTAAAATTTAGTGATTATGTAGTGCCAATGTTTTTCTTTAATTGCTGCATGTAGTTATTTTGTTTTTTGGGCAGTTTGATAGATTACTAGTAGTAGTTGAAATACGACCTTAGTCGTTTTTAAATCTTGTGATTACCCACTGTCATTTATGTTTCCGCTTTGCTTTTCAGAGCCTGAAGCACAATCCTAATGGTAGGTTTGTCGTTGTTTGTGGAGATGGTGAGTACATCATTTACACTGCCTTGGCATGGAGAAATAGGTCGTTTGGCTCGGCCCTGGAATTTGTTTGGTCATCTGAGGGGGAACATGCTGTCAGGGAAAGCTCGTCAAAGATCAAGATCTTCAGCAAAAACTTCCAGGTTTGTTATTCCTTTTGGCACGTTCTTTTCCCACTGATCAGCTTTCAAAACTTTTTTTTTTGGTGTGTGTCCGATTATCTAAATTACACTAACATATACTGACAGCTTAGTTTGATAATGTGCAGGAAAAGAAGACTGTGAGGCCTACGTTCTCAGCAGAGCGCATTTTTGGTGGGCCGTTATTGGCTATGTGCTCAAGTGATTTTATCTGCTTCTATGATTGGGGGGAATGTAGGTTGATTAGGCGAATAGATGTTACCGTCAAAGTAAGTGCTTATATCCCAGAAATATCTCTATCAGTTTCTAGCAGGAGAGTGGTTTATAGGTTACAGTTTCTGAAATATTTTGTCGGAGAAATAGAAGATAGTATCCTATCTGGGCTTTAAGCGCAAAACCAGACTGATACCGCTCTTTTCTGCAACAGAATCTTTTGTTCATGTATAATGTTTCTTGTTTATTGTATTGTCTCAGAATCTTTATTGGGCTGACAGTGGTGATCTAGTTGCAATTGCCAGTGACTCATCGTTCTACATCCTTAAGCTCAATGTGAGGATATTTTTAAAGTTTGGTAGTGTATCAGAAATCTGATAGAGTTTCGTTAGTTTGTTCTCCTTGTCATGTTGCTGTCCGACACATGGTTTTAAGATGTTCTATACTTTTCTGCTGTAGCGCGACATTGTTTCCTCTTATATGGATGGAGGTAAAGAAATTGATGAGGAAGGCGTTGAGGATGCATTTGAGCTTCTCAATGAAACCAATGAACGTGTTCGGACTGGCTTATGGGTTGGGGATTGTTTTATTTATACCAACTCTTCTTGGAGGCTTAACTACTGTGTTGGTGGTGAGGTAAGGCTTAGTTCTAGGTATTTGGATAAAACTTTTTTGATTTTACTGTAAATGATGTTCAATATTCCTCTTAAATTACAGGTAACGACAATGTATCATCTGGACCGACCTATGTACTTGTTGGGTTATCTCGCTAATCAAAGTCGAGTTTATTTAATTGACAAAGAGTTCAAGTAAGCTGATGTTTTACAGTTAATATTGCTGACCAATGTTTTGTAACTTTCTGATATCTATGTCAATTTTATTGTTTACAGCATTATTGGTTACACTTTACTTTTAAGTTTGATTGAGTACAAGACTCTTGTCATGCGTGGAGATTTGGAACAGGCTAATCAAGTCTTACCTTCAATTCCTAAAGAGCATCATAATAGGTATGTGAGTGTGTATTCCCTCGTGTTATTTCGGTTATGATTGCATTATCATCTTAGTGGACTGGACATGCATCCGAAGTCACATCATGATTCTCAACTTCAAAAATCTGTTCATGTTGTCAGTGTGGCGCACTTTTTGGAATCACGTGGAATGACAGAAGATGCTCTGGAAGTAGCTATTGACCCTGATTACAGATTTGAGTTGGCCATACAGCTCGGTAGATTGGAGGTCGCAAAGGTCAGTTTGTCGCTTTTACCGTTGGAGATGCTTTATTCCATGAGTTACGAATCTGTTGTAACCCAGTTTATGTTGACAGGACATCGCTGTAGAAGCACAAAGTGAGTCTAAGTGGAAGCAACTTGGAGAACTAGCGATGTCCACTGGGAAGGTGACTCATTTTTTAACTGCAACTAGTGTTCTAAGTTTTTCCCAAAGATTAGAGCTAGCTAATATGCATTTCTTTTCATTGTTCTTCCCATGCTTGGATCACTTAGCTGGATATGGCTGAGGAATGCATGAGGCATGCTGTGGATTTGAGTGGTCTATTACTGCTTTATTCTTCCTTGGGAGATGCAGAAGGATTGACGAAGCTGGCAGCTCTAGCTAAAGAGCAAGGAAAGAATAATGTAGCTTTTGTTTGCTTGTTCATGTTGGGTCAAGTAGAAGACTGCCTGCATCTTTTGGTGGAAAGGTACGTCATTACCGTTCTTACATTGGGGACATATATTCCTTGCGTCTATGCTGATATTTGTCTGGTTACAGTAATCGGATACCTGAAGCTGCTCTGTTAGCACGATCGTACCTTCCGAGCAGGGTGTCCGAAATAGTGGCATTGTGGAGAAAGAATTTGACCAAGGTTCGTGTTAGGCACTTCCTATGCATCTCCTGATTTTATATCCAAACTTTGCATGTTCAGAAATCTACCGCGTTTCTTGATTCACTCTTGATCTGCATGTAGATAAGTCCAAAGGCTGCTGAATCCCTGGCTGATCCTGAAGAGTATCCCAATCTGTTTGAGGACTGGCAAGTTGCCCTATCCCTTGAAGGAAAAGCTGCAGAGAAAAGGTATCTTTCAGACGAAGTTGGCGTGATTAGCTTCTTCGTAGGAACAGTGCTTATGAGGGCACTTTTAATTTTAGTTGTTGGACTCATCCATTTTGAGACATGTGTCTGCATTAGATAGCAAAGTGGCCGCTGTATGGTTGGTTTTGATTTGAATCTGTACTCCAAATTGAAGTTTCCAGGATCCTCATAGACAGAGTACTTGTATTCATTTATGTTGCAGGGGCGTCCATGATCGTGCTGGGGATTATGGTAGTCATGCACACAGAGACTATACAACGTTGGTGGAAGCTTTTAGAATCATGCAAATTGAAGAAGAGGAGAGGCTTGAGCACGGGGATGTTCTCGACGAGGTATATGCATATTTGACGTTGCGTGCCATTTAGGTCGATGGTTTTTTAAAACAAATGATGTCCAATAGCTTCCTCGAGCATAGTTTGAGAAAAGAATCATGAACAATTTTTTTATGTTTGTAAACAGGTTGAGGGAGAGGGAGAAGAGGAGCATCAGGAAGCTGAGGAAGAGAGTGGTGATGGGAAGGAAGAGAATGCAGAAGAAGAGGGGGTTGTGGTTGACGCTGACTCTACAGATAGCGCTGTGCTAGTTAATGGGAACGAGTCTGAGGAACAGTGGGGTAAGTATGATCAATGAAGGAAACCCATCAGTCTAATAACATTTTTGTGGTGATTAATTGATTATAAGATATGCTGGTTGCTCTAGGACATTTAGGTCGTTTGCTTCTAATGCAACATATCATATCATAGGGCTTCTGTTTGCATCTCTGTTCCTGTGTTCCTTCAATTTTTGCTGATCATATGTGTTGAGGATGGCGTAGTTAGTGCTTCCATATTTAGTTTGTCAACTAATCTATTTAAAAGAATGATGAAGAAAATCTTTTTTGTTGGTTGTGGTACAGTTCTAACACCACCGCAGGAGTAGTGTACGTGAAGAGGTGTATATTCTTGGCAGTGAAGAGGGAAATGAGGAAGCAGCAGAGAATAAGGGAGAGTTTCATTGTTAGAAACTGCTCTCCGCTTATGGTTTAATTCCAAAAAAAAAAAACATCTGTGATATGGGTTTTAGGGCAAAAACAAAAACATCACCCTCTTAATTTTCAATCATTGGTAATAATATAGGTAGATATATTTCCATAATCTCGTGTATAATATTTTTTTCCAAATTGAAATATTCCATGATTGATTTCTTAGCCAGTTCAAAATGCTAAATATAGGCTAAGAGACAGCGTTAATGGTGCTCTAAGTCAATTCCGTTATATATTTTGAAAACGTGGATAGTGTGTGCATTCTCATAAGCATACGTTAAACGAAACCCACGACATAAAAAAAGGAAGAAGTTATTACCCTCCTTCCTTCCGTCTCACAAGTAACAAACAACCCAAACAATCGCCAGAAGAAAGCAATCAAGGTTTTGCGGATCGCGAAACTCTTAACTTTCGCGTGCTATCTGGTATCGTCTCTCTTTCTCCATTGAATCGGCGACTGTTAGGGCTTTAGCAGTGTTCTCCTTTCGTTCCTTACGTTACTATATGTTCCATTATTCTTCTGCAATTAGGATCGACTGAGGTTTCTGGAGAGTTCTCTGATTCAAGAAGATTATGGCCCCAGATGGCGTAGAAGAGGCGGAGTATGAGAGTGATCCCGAGGAGCTGAAGCGCTCCTTGGCTACTCGTAGGAGAGAAGCGAGCGATGATGAGGATGAGAACTTGGGAGAAATTCAGAGTGCTGACATCGATTCCGATGAACAGAGTGCAATCGTGGAGTTTGATAACGATGCAGGTGAAGGATTGCACGTAGAAGGTGACGACGATAGCTATGATGATGAAGAGGAGGAGGGTGATTATGGCGAAGTGGATGACAATATGGAATATGTTGCTGGCAAGGGTGAGCCTAAGGGAGTGGAAGCAGCGAGGGAGGACTCTGTTGTGGATGGAGAAGAACCAAAGCAGAAGGAACCTTTTGCTGTGCCAACTGCTGGAGCTTTTTATATGCATGATGACAGGTTTCAGGAATTCGATGCTCCCCCAAATAGGTATTTCGACTCTCTAACCTGCGTCACAATTCTCACACAGCTATCAGATGAAGCTATGGTCCCAAGTCCACACTACGTAGTTACTAACGGAACTATTATATCATGCAAATGTATGTATGGAGGGAGAGTATACTAAACAAACTATTTTCTGTCATTCAATTTTATTAAGTAGTTCAAATAGATAACTCTTGCAAATCAATTTGTTAACTTTGATTGTGAATCGTAACGTCTAACTCTAGCTGATTTGTCAGCAAAAGATAAGCCACTGCTATATTATACTCTAAACCTCTTCCGTTCTCCTCTTGTTGTTTAGTGTCTGCGCAAACAAGTTACTTTAGTATTATTCATTCATATTGGTCTTGATTTTGCTTGTGTAGGCGAATGCGCGGTGGTAGGAGGCTCTGGCCATCCCGAGATGAAAGAAAATGGGGACATGACAAATATGACGAGATGAATACACAAGAAAAGCCATATGATGTATTCATCTCTCCCTCTCTTTCTCTACTATTCATTTATATGTTTGTATTTTTGATTTTTTCCCTCTTGCGGTGTGTCAATACATTTGTCACTTCTTCTGTATCTCCTTTTAATTTACGAATTGGTTGATAAAATTTTGTGAACATAGAAGAGGACTTCCAGAGGCCGAGCAAGAGGACGTGGTCAGGGTAGGGGTCAGGAGCGTGGGTATTCTCGAGGGGGCAATTCTGAAGTGTTTACCAACAATGGACACCATAATCAGTTTCCTAAGGCTGGCACAAGAGGGAGAGGATCCAGACGATATGAGGTTGCCTTGAGAAACGGCTCTCAAGCACGTTCTGCGCAAACCAAACAGTGAGTTTTCATTTTGTCTTTTCCTCTAGTTAACAGTTTAAGACACGAATGTTCTATCTCTAATTTTAGCGTCACTGGATCTATAGGTCCCAGAATTCGTTTGTGAAAGTGTCAGACGTTGATTCAGGACGTGCACCAACAGAAACATACAGCTTAGAGAATGAAGCCAGGATAAATGTAGTTGCTTCGGGTTTAAACTCAGCTTCTCCTCCATTTTATCCTTCAGGTAACTTGGCACAAAAGGATTTACAAGCTGGCATGGGTAGGCTTCACGTTAATGGAAGCCCCATGCCGTCTGGAAAGAAGTTTGGGAATACAAAATCTAGCTCTTCGTGGGTACAGACTACCCTTTCTCAGACTACTAGTCAAGGTAGAGGTGCACGTTCCCCTGGGAAAGTGCTTAATCAAGGTGACAATGTTATTTCGCCTAGGCAAATCAGGGGGATTTCAAAAGGCACTGGAGAAAGCTGTCAACCTCCTGGTGAGGCTTGTGATCAACATCCAGCTGTTATGAGTTTGCTGCTTTCTTCTCTACCGTAATTTGGCTCATCAAACATCTTGTATATTTCTGGTGAAACAGAGTCAGCCACAGAAACAGGTGCTTTGGTTGTCAAGGGAGAAGGGACTCTCCAGCCTAGTGGAAGGGGGTCTTTTATGTATGGAGGGACACAATTTATGGGCCCAGGCGGGGGCATGGCGGCTGGTCATGGCAATCCCAATTTCCCTGCTTTTCTGCCTGGTAAGTTATTCTTGAATGTCACCGTTCATTCTTCATTGGAATGGTTAAAAAACATCTTCCAGAGTCAGTTCATGCATGCTAATGTAATTGAAAGCTAATGATGCTGAGCCGTCTGATTTGCTTGCCCAGTTTTATTTTTAGGCTCATATTTTTTCATGTTCATTTCATGTGCAGTTATGCAATTCGGTGGTCAGCACGGTGGTGTTCCGACCTTTGGAATGGCTCTTCCGGGATATGTCCAACCAGAACATGGTACTGGAAGTCCCGAGATGACATGGTATGCAGTCCTTCCTTTTCGCTGTGCCGTATTTGTGAATGTTGGTTTTAGTTTGCTCAGCTTTAAGTGGTTATGAAAAACTATGTACTCCACATTTTTAGTTGACTTTCTGCATGTTTTTGTTATTTGTAATGATTTAGTCTTTTGCTGGCCCAAACAGAATCATAATTGTTGCTTTCATTTATCTGCTGTTTGTGTGTTGTTTGATTCCCCTAACTCCTTACCTAGACGTAGTTCATGATGACTGCTATTTTTGTTTATGTCATTGACAGGCTGCCAATTTTGACTGGCCCGGGAGCATTGGGGGCTTCATATCCTCCACCTTATGCTGCAATTTATGGTTCTTACCACAAACCAGGGTTCCCTTCCTCTGCGGAATTTTCCAGGTTTATAAGTTAATCGTCTTCATTTTCTCATTATTGCTAATCAGCCTGCATATTTCCATATTCTTAAATGTCTTAGTTTTATCTTAGAGGAAGAGTATTCTTGCAATGTAGCTTTAACGAAACAATCGTACGTGAGTTTTTAGATTTAGGATATGTTATGTTACATGCTAGAATTTTCGAACTGTTAGCGTACTATGCCACCAGAAACATGTAGCTTTCATTTACCAGACTCACTAGGCACTCATGTAACAATGTCGATCTTCTCTGATTACGAGTGTCGAGTAAAGCATTTAATTTGGGCTCACTTGCCATTAACAAATTAATTCCTTTTTTTTTTGTTTGGCAGTCAAGAAAACAGTTCGAATAACCCTACTGATGAAGAGAAGCCTCTGGAGATAACTGGTAAGTGGGTTTATTGAATCAGGTGTAGGGGAAACATCTGCCTTTTAGTTTTAGTAGAGAATATGTTGGATTTTCCTGCTTTGTATATTTTAAGTACTAACGCTTTTGCTTATCAAAAGATGATGTTTCGAATTATGACCAAATGACAAGACAGTAACAAGTGCAAGCAGGATATATTGGTTAGGCTCGTTTAGGTTTGAAATGAAGCTTTTTCTCCTTTTGATGTAGATGCTACAAATAATGGGACACTACAACGGTCGAACAGCAACCCAAACAAGCAGCCCCGTAGGTGAGTTTTTGAAGCTATATCTTTATAACTGCTTTTTAAATTGATCATACTTTGATCTTGAATAAGGGTGCATAGAGTATTATTAGGTTTAGGGTGTCAAGTAGAGGAGTAGTTGGGTACCAGATATTGTGAAAAGAAATGTATTATTGAGATGCTTAAACGTGCGTATATGCTAGATACTCGGAGATGAGCTTTAATTAGCAAGTGAGTGCACAATATAAAGAAGGCAAAGAAAGGTCCCCTTATGTTAGAATAAGTTGAGACAGGAGTTGTGTGTGTGTGTGGGAGAGAGGAAGATATCATCCTTTGCTGCAGGTTCTGTTGCTTCTCCTCTGCGGGAGGCACTTTGCGCTGCTATTGTTGCAGATTTTACTAGGTACACAATTTCAAAGTTCTTCCTACTCAGTTACACATAACGTGAAAATATGAGATCTTACTGATTTGGCTGGATTTGTGTATTTTATTTTCAGGAGGTTGTCGCGCCTTAAAAAGAATTTGTTTGTGAGCTTTGAGCTGTCTTCTTTCTTTATCTGTAATTTTTATTATTTAGTTCCTTCTGCTTTGTTTTTTGATTTGTAATGTGGGTATGTGTTTTGGTTTTGATTAAGGTTCTGTGTACGGAAGTCCCGCTTTACAATTTGCTCACTTTGAGCTTCAATTTAGATTGTTATTGTTATTGGTTAAGCTCCTCTGATTAAAGAAAAAGGTGTAATATATTGTTTTTTGCGTATATTATTATATCGCTTCACATACACCAATTTTCGGTAGGAGATGTAATGTGTTGTTTGTTGTTTCTAAAAAGTCTAATTGATACGTCTGTTTAAAATTCTTTATTTCTCCGTTGTTTTTGTAAAATCGGAGAAATAAAGGTGGAATTTTGAAAAAAAAAATAACAACGCAGCAAAAAGAAATTAAAAAACGAGGGGTCAAAAACAGCCTCATTCCTGATTCTCTCCTACGCAGCTACGAACGAACGATGATGGGTGATAGTAACAACGTCTACTCTCCGCCGGACCAATCTCTCTCCCCCAACTCTAATCTCTGCATCACGGTTACATCTTCTCTTTTCTCTCTTCCAAATTCTTCTTCCCTTAGCCTTAGATTTTGATTATTCCAACTTAGGGTTAACTAATCCTTTTGTGATTTTTCAGATCGAGGAAGGTTCTCAGAGCAGCGAACAGCTGGTTATAACACAAGACGGAGACGATAACCTTCCAACCATCATACACAACTCTCCCGACCTCCTCGTTGAAAATGAATGCGATAGATTACTCCTCGACGAATTCGCATCTCAAAGCAACGAATCCGAAAAATGCTCAACGACCTCTCTTCCCCCAACTACCGAAATGGAATTCGACTCTTACGACGAAGCCTACAGCTACTACAACTCCTACGCCCGAGACCTCGGTTTCGCAATCAGAGTCAAATCCTCATGGACGAAGCGTAACAGCAAGGAGAAACGCGGCGCCGTGTTATGCTGCAACTGCGAAGGTTTCAAAACGGTTAAAGAACCAAACAGTACCCGGAGAAAAGAGACCCGAACCGGTTGTCAAGCCATGATTCGTCTCCGTTTGATTGAACTCGATAGATGGAAAATCGATGAAGTCAAACTCGAACACAACCATTCTTTTGATTTAGAAAGAGCTCATAACTCTAAGTCTCATAAGAAAACGTTTGGTGTTGGTAACAAGAGAAAACATGAACCACCTCTTGATGTTGAAGTCAGGACCATTAAGTTGTATAGGAGCCTTGCTGTTGACGACACGCCGAACTCTAGTGGAGAGAATGGTGATGAGTTCCACTCTTCAATCCGTTTGGATCTCAAAGGAGGAGGAGGGTTTAGAGTGTTGCAAGACTTCTTCTTCCAATCTCAGCTTACTAACCCAAACTTTTTCTACTCCATGGATCTCGGCGACGACGGAGGGGTCAGGAATGTGTTCTGGATCGAGGGGAGAGCCAGAGCTGCTTACTCTCACTTTAACGACGTGGTTGTCTTTGACACGACGTGTTTATCGAATGCATACGAGCTTCCTCTTGCTGCGTTTGTTGGAATTAACCACCATGGGGATTCTATCTTACTTGGATGTGGTTTGGTTGCTGACCAGAGCTATGAGAGTTACGTCTGGCTCTTCAGAGCGTGGCTTACGTGTATGTTGGGCCGTCCTCCACAGACTTTCGTCACAGAGCATTGCAAGTCGATGCAGGGTGCAGTCTCTGAAGTTTTTCCTAGGGCTCATCATCGTCTTAGTTTGACCCACGTCTTGCAAAGCATCTTTCAGAGCGTTGTTGGACTACTGCAAGATCCTGAGTCGTTCCGTACGGCACTGAACAGAGTGGTGTACGGTTATCTCAGGGTGGAAGAGTTTGAAGTCGCTTGGGAAGGGATGATTATTAGGTTTGGGCTGACGAATAACGAGATCATCCGGGGCTTGTTTCAGGATCGAGAACAGTGGGCTCCTGTTTACCTCAAGGATACGTTTTTGGCAGGGGCGTTGACTTTTCGACTGGGGAATGCAGCAGCTCCGTTCATCTTCAGCAGCTACGTTCACCAGCACACACCTCTGAGGGAGTTCCTTGAAGGGTACGAATCTTTTCTGGATAAAAAGTACGCAAATGAAGCCTTGTGCGATTCAGAGTCGTCGAAGTCAGTCCCGGAGCTCAAAACAACGCACCCGTACGAGTCTCAGATGTCAAAGGTGTTCACGAAGGAGATATTTACGAGGTTCCAAGAGGAGGTATCGGCAATGTCTTCATGTTCTGGAATAACGCAAGTCCACTCAAACGGCTCGGCCTCCACGTACGTGGTGAAAGAGCGAGAGGGAGAGAAAGTGAGAGACTTTGAGGTCGTCTACGAGACAAGTGCAGTAGCAGGAGCGGCACAGGTACGTTGCTTCTGTGTGTGTGGTGGTTTCAGCTTCAACGGGTACCAATGCAGACACGTGCTCCTCCTGCTAAGCCACAAGGGCTTGGAGGAAATCCCGTCTCAGTATATATTGCAACGTTGGCGCAAAGACGTGAAGCGTCTCTATGTTGCAGATTTCGGGTCAGGCTGTGTGGACATAATGAATCCGGTTCAACGGTACGAGCATTTGCACAGAAGAGCGATGCAGGTTGTTGAACAAGGGATGAGATCGAAAGAGCATTGCAGAGTTGCCTGGGAAGCTTTTAAAGAGAGTGTGAATAGAGTGACAGAGAAGTCTTCGTAGGTACTTTTTTTTGGTTGCCTGCTGCTGTTGTATACGTTATGTCTTTATACGACAGGGTCAGAGCTCTTTGTAATAGATTCCTGTACGATCATTTAATACCACAACAAGGGAGCGGATCAAGAGAGAGCTAATAATGTACATCTCTTTTTTCCTTATTGAAAATATCTCTGCTCATTTTTCCCAGTCATGCCTCTGTCTTTCATACCGGTTTTGCCACCAAAAATCAGAATAAGAACGTTCAATGCAACAGCAACACAATTTTTCAGAAACAGATTGTTTAATTATACATATCCCTATACCGACCCAAACACCCATATTCTTTGATATCCAGCACCGAAGTATATAAAATATAAAAAAAAAGGAAAAGAAACATATGTTGTTCTGACTTCTGACTACACAGAAAATAACATGCAAAAGCATTTCTCTCCTGAGTTTTCTAGTTTGATCTCTCCTCTACTTGTTGAGTTTGTTGACGCTTTCCCTTCTCCTCTCCCCCAACTGCCCTACTTGTGTCTCATTAGAAGACATCCGGATTGAATCTCTGCGGCATCATTGAGTTGCCGTGTTCCATTTGCTCCAAATGCATTTTCAAGGCGTAGTTATTCACCTGCATTTTGTAACTTCCTATTATCATTTCACTCTTTCTCAATTGGAGACGGTAATGGCTATGCAACCAATAACAAACCAACAAAATCAGAACTAAAGTAGCTTACCTCCAGATTTCTGACCTTCTCCTGGTACTGAGGAATCAGCTGCTTCAAAAACTCTAGCTGCTGATTAGCATCTTCTAAGGCCTTCTGTCGCTCATGCTGGATAGCAACAGCACGTTTCAGCACTGTGTTGTCCTTGATCAAGGCCTCCATTTGTTGCTGCACTGCCACACTCTCCTGCAATTCATAAGAGGGTATTAATTTCACTATAAAACAGATACAGAGGTTTTAAAAAATATCCTAATACTCATTTACTAATTTGATAACTTTTATTTCCACGATGGAAGACAGTTTTCCTTGGAACTACGATATGCATAGTCGTGTTCAGAGCTAGCAACTTGTAGTCAGCAAAAGTACATAAGAAATATAACTAATGGTTCACACTATGTCTTACAACAACACTTAAATCGAATTGTCTTACATACTTAGAACTCAAAGATCAAGTAACTAGCCATGGTCCCTAATAAAAATTTCTTAGCATGTCCGATACCTACCATGATAGTTTATCTTTTGAATGGAACCACACAGTGTAAATCAAAACTTTTAGCTTAATGGCTTTACCTCTTGGAATTTTTTGCCAGCTTCTTCGTGAGCACGTGCGCTTAACACCTTCTCTAAAGCCCCCAGGACTCTTTGAGCACGGGCTTTTGCATCATCGGTACCAGAAGATTGTGTCACTTCCCTCACTAACAATGCAACCCAGTCATTAGCACTAGCTGAGTGATTGTCTGAAGCAGCAAAAGTCCCACCACCATCAGTCTCCGATTCTTGAGCTCTTTTCTCCTCAGCCGATGCCAAAGCGTATAAGGTTTTCATAGCAGCATTCAAATCGTTCCCATGCTCTTCTAGTGCCTTCACAATAACCTAACATCAAAAAAAAAAAACATTTAAAAAAGAAACTCCCGAATCTAATTAAATTTCCCTAATACAATATTTCAAGAAGCACATATTAGCCAACCGATTAAGCCAATCACACAATCTATAGGACGAATCATGCCGCTAAACTCAATCTACATACGTAACTCGCGTCTAACAAAGAGTATTCAATCGGATTGCGCAAACGGTAAAGCTAGATCTATGGATTCTGATAAAGTCCGATTGACAAAAGGAAACAAAGACATACGGTGAGTTCAAGATTAGGAAAGGCGGTGCGAAGCTGATCGAGCGAAGAGGAAGGAGAGGACCAGCTTTGAGTATTGGAAGGCGAGAAACATCGCAACCTCTTTGAAGAGGGAGGAGGAGAAGGAGTATCGTCGAAGTACGATCTCTTGCTTCCGCAATAAACGGCAGACATGGCTTGGGAATCTAATTTGACGGATGATTCGATCCGAACGCAAATAAGTTAGGGTTTAAGAGGAAGACGAAGGAAGATGATTGTAGGCAAGGGAAACCTCTCAGATCGAGATTCGGGGGGAGCGTATCCAAGTTTCCGATTATCTCTATCTATCTGATTTAGGTTTTCTTTGACAACAGGCCAGGCCAACATTACCTTTATATATACAACAGCTTTTATGCGGCAGGGGCTTTTTCGTACTTTGCTTTATTCCCATTTGCGCATTAGCGCGTGAACCTGAAGCCAACGCTTCGCTCTTTTGTTTTTCCAGATTATATTTTATCCAGTAATTCCCTTTGGTCAAGTGTTAGAGAACTCAAAACATTATGAGCATTTAATATGAACAAGATATATAAACTTACTGCAAATCAAATCTTTATTTGGCACTAGATATGCGTCCGTGCGTTGTACGGATTTCATTTGATACTTTAATATTTATATAATATATAAAAATAATAATTCATGTTATAGTTTGAGGATTTATTTTGCATATGTTACGTGAGAATTATTTTAGAAATTAAGAATTTGTTTTCCTATAATGTTCCAGTTAGTATTTTTATTTTAATCAATAAATATTTTATTTGATGTTTTAAGTTTACAAATAACATAAAATAGTAAATTATTTTAAATTTTAGGATTTTTTTTTGGTATATGTTGTGTGACATATTTCAGAATTTAAAATTTGTTTACCCATATAAATTGTTGTTAATATTTGTATTTTAATAATGATGACACATAAGTGAATTATTTTTAACTTTATACTTAAAGCCAGAAAAAATACTCATACCTAAAAGTTTAAACCAAATCTAATCCAAATTAAGAATTAGAGAATAAAAAGAATTGAAAGTTAACTAAAGTCAATCAAGTTAATAATAATATCATACACATATACATTTGTTATGTACCAATTCTTTTTTTTTTGTCACGAGTTATGTACCAATTCAATGTTGGTTTTATTTGATGTTAAATATGTTATTCTTATTGTTTAAATATATTCTAATGTCTATTAATTATTCTAGTGAAAATTTTATTGTCAGTGTAAGATTTTTAACTTTTTATGTATTTGTGACCATCAATATTTTTGGTTACTTGATTTTGAAATTTTAATTATTCAACCATAGAAATAATTTTGATCATCACTTTTATCAAGTAATTAGTGATAATAAATAAAACCATCAATACATGTATCTTATAGTCACAAATATTTATGTACATGTTGAAGACTCTAAATAACGATTGTATGCATAATTGTTTATACTAAAACATAATTTTTTTAACCATAGTTTTTATGAAGACAAAAACTATAATTTGAAGATGATAAATCCTAAAATAAATAAATAATTATTTTATTATATATTGTAATAAGGTTAAATACGACAGTCTTAGAGGTAATTAAGAAGTTTTTCTAATTTCATTTTAACTATATGACATTTAATATCATATATATCATCTCGAATCTTTATATAACTTTATAAATTTAATTTCATCCCTTAAACATTAAACCCTACACACTAAATCATAAAATCAGATTTTATACGATTTTTATTTAGTATTAAAAATGGTATTTAAGTTATAGTATTTCAAACAATTTCTTTAGTTTTTTCTAGTTTTTGAATTTATAACTTTTCCTATGTGTACTTAATTTATAGTTATTTTTGAATTACTTGTTTCTTATTTCCAACTAACAATAAAATATTTATTAAAATTGTCTCTTATTAAATAAATTTCTGAATTCATTTTAATGATATATTTTCATAATAACATTTTAATAAAATGAATTAGAACTAGTATATATTAAAACACAGATGTAATAAGATGACAATAAAACTTGATTTAATTTTGACTAAATACATATAAAGATCATTTACGGTGATATTAATCTATTTTTATGACTGAATACAAAAATACCAAACATGTGTTTGATTTTTGTATGACCAAACACATACAAAACTCAATATAAAGACTAATCACGACAAAATTCTATTTTTTATTTTTTTGTTAATTAAATTGTTTTAATATCATGTTTATCATAAAAATCTTTATGTTTTAAATTACTGTTAAATAATTTTTTAAAATTTTTATTTTCTTATGATTTTTAAAAAGACAACATTAGATTCTACAAATTCTTTTATTTATAACTTAAAAAGAAAAAAAAAATATCAAATACTATTTTACATTTTTGTTTAAGATTTTAGAAAATAAAGATTACTATCATACAATCATTTACAATTATCTTCTATTTAGAATTTCCAAAAATTAGATTACTATCAAATAATTATTTCAATACCATTAAATGATTTTAAAACTACTATTTTACAATTCATATCACTACTATTTTACAGTTAATTTTTAATTAAATAATTTAACAATTAGGCATAAGCACAATGGTATATAAAGATAACAAATTGACATTAACTTATCTACAACAGCATAAATAATTTTATAATGTCGATAAAACAAACACACATAAGCATAATAGACACATTGAAATGAAATGCTTTTTTATTTTTTACTTTTAAAAAATATTTTAAATTAATATGTTAAAAGTTCCTTTTTATTATTTTAAATCTTTTTGTTTAGGATTTGTGAAAAGGAAAATTACGATTAAACACTTTTAACTTCTTGTGTTTTACTTTTAGAATTTTTTTAAAATTAATATCTTCAAATTTTGGTTTTATTATCTTAGTATATATATTAAAAATCATCACCAGTTTAAGAAGAAAAGAACATAAATAATATTTGAAATAATTATTTTACAAAAAATTTTGTTTACGAATTGAGAAATGGAATTACTATAAAGGAGCTTTTTAGTTACTTTTTCTTCAGGATTTTGGAAGGAAAATTAAAATCAAATAAATTATTTTGCAATTTTTTTTTTTGTTCAAAACTTTTAAAAGGACATGGTTTAGAAAAATTGCTATTATTTTTTTTAATTACTTTTAGTAGTAAAAATCATTTTCATCATCTTCATATATATATATATATATATATTGTTAATCATGATATATTTTAACATATATAATTTTTAAAAAAATAGAAATTACTGTCATTTAAATCTTTTTTAGGATTTTAGAAAATGTAAACTGTTAATAAATAAATTATTTTACGAATATAATTTTTTTAGGGTTTGTAAAAAAAGGAAAACTACAATTAAACACTCTTTACTTTTAAACCATATTTAAAAATATTATTTTCATAATTCATTTTTATGATTTGAAATCTTTTTATAGGATTTTTAAAAGGAAAACTACAATTAAAAACGTTTAAATTTCTTTTTTTTAAACAATTTTTAAAATTAATATATTCAAAAAATATTTTTTTGTATTGTCTTAGTATATATATTTGTAATCATATGATATGTAATACATGTGATAATATTAAAAGTAAAATTATTAACAAATATTGTTTTGTAAATATCTTTTATTTAGGATTTAAAAATGGAAAATTACTATTACTTAGTATTTCTAAATTATTTTTAACAAAATTCATTTTTGTCATTATCCAAATTATTATATATATATATATATATAAAAATTTATATATATATTAATTATGAAATAGTTTAACACATGTCACAATTTTAAATATATAATTGACATGTGTCACAATCTTGTTAATTAGTAACTTTGAAGAACCAAGCTTTATATAAGAAGACTAGATGATTTCTATCCTATTCATGCATGGATTTAAGTATTTATGAAATAAATAATATTATAATAATTAATTTATCTAATATTGCTTTCAAATCAATTAGATCAATAATGTTATATTTTTAATTAGACATATGATTCCGGATATGTTATATCTAGTTGGTTTGGTTATTTTTTGATCAATAGCTAATTTGGTTATCACTTGGATATATTAATTTGCATCTACTTCTCTAAATTCAACTATACTATTTTTTATTCTAAATATATTAAACTTTGATTATTTTCTTATTTGCATTTTTGTAGGTGGTTGTTTTAGACATGTAATTATATTTTATTAAGATTATTTATAACTTCATATATATATTATGCTTAGAATGAAATAAAAAATAAACTAATTTGTTAGATTCAATATTACATAAATGAATATAAGTTTCATGCATATTTATTTAAATTTTGAGAAAATAGCTAAATTGTAACAACTGGTTAGTGTTTTATTTGTATTTTTTATATGTTTTGAGTCATCTTGTAATTTATATGTATAAAAATAAATAGATTACTATTATAAAATTATATGTTCTTATTGTAGTTAGATATTTGATTTTGGATATAAGATGGATTAGTCGAGATACTTAGTATATTTAGTTATATATATTCTTTAAATTTCAAACTGAAATGTAGTTATTTTTTATTCTAATTAAATCAAATTAAATTTTTTTATCTTAGAAATGTGCATGTATTTTCATAATATTTATCAAATTTTATGTTGATCTTTAAAAAATATTATAAAATAAAATTTTAAAAGTTCATGAACGCATATCAATATTTACAATAATTAAAATATTAAAAAATTTTAAGCCTTAGATTTATTGAAAGATAAATTAAATTTGAAAAAAAAATGAAAATGAGAATTCAGATTTGTGTTGATATTTTGACTATGAGTATAAGTTCCAAAAGTTAAAAAAAAAACATATAACTAAAAGCAAACTAAATATTACGATAGTAATTTTTAATAATTATAATATATAAAATTTATACATCATTAAAAATTTAAAATTATATAGTGTTATTCTATTTGAAAATATTTGGTAATTATTTGATCAAAATATTTTTATTGTAAAAAAGTATTTTATGTTTCCTTTCTAATAACCCTTAAATTAAGCATTAATTTTTTCTGATTGTTTTTGAGAAATCATATTATATACTCCAGTGTATAGATACTTTGTTTTTGTTGTAACTATAAGATTTATAGTCAGCTAAAGATTATGAAAAAACAATTCAATAATACTAATTATAAACTATTTTTTCAATTAAACATATATCGATTTATGAAACTTAATTATTTTTGTAATCATCTACAAAATAGATAGCTATAAATAAAATATTTCTGTTACTTTGCAAATGTATATATATTTTATATTGTTTAAAATTATTTTCAAGGAAATAATATTTTTTTTTAATACCAAGATTTTTTTTGTGATTTTTTTTTATGAAATCACATTATATACAAATATATGGTTCTTCTCATCTAAGAGAATCTATAGATATAAAGAAAGTATTTTGATTACTTTGAAAGTATATATTATGTTATTTAAAAATATATTTACATGGAAATTACTATTTTGTGAATTTTTTTTTGATGAATTCATATTATACATACATATATTTTCGTTTTTAATTTCATTTTTAAACCTTATAAATGTTTCCTCTTGGTTATACATGTTATCTGAAAAAATAGTAAAGTAAACTAAAAAATAGAAAATAATAATCATTAGATGTAATATTTTTAATTTATTAATAATAATAACATCAATGTAGGAAACTGATTTCTCAAATAATATTATAGAGATTTCTTAACCTATTATTCACGTTAACAGAAAAAAAAATACTTCAATCCAATAACCAGATAAACAACAAGTAAACATTGATGATACAAACAAGCTTTGAACAATTGCGACATGCAAAGTAGCTTCTAACCAGCATGAATTATTAGATATGGAGTCTAATAAGGTTTTAATAATATTTAGCTTACATAAATTGATCAAACCGATTCTATTATTGTCGTAACCCTTGATAACTTGATATTACATCTAGTTTTGGAAGTACTTGAAGATATAGATGGAATCATTGAGGTGACGACGAGTAAAACAGGTTTAGAAGGTTATTTCTTCTAACTGGCTAGGCTCCACCAGAACGTACAATGGCTTTCCCTTCAGCTTACATTGCCCCTGCATCTCACATAAAACACAAGTTATATTCATCTTCAAATCCACTAAATGGGCCTAAAAGCCCGAAATTTTTCAAATACCACTGATTAGATCTTCAAAGTAATCATTACCTTGAATTTAGGCAAACCAACAACGCAGGCACATTCCACAACTTCGGCCCCAGCACGTTCTAACGTATAATTAGACTCGTTAATTGAGTACTGTATGCGATTCATGTATTTTCCAAACTCGTATCGAAGTTTTTTTTTTGTAGTATTCATGAAAAATGAGAATAAATTACCCAAGAGGTTAATAGAAGCTGAGAGTGTTCCACCAGTGGCAACTAAATCGTCGATGACAAGAGCTCGTTCTTGGGATTTGACTGCCTCCATACTCATCTCTAGACGATCGTTTCCGTACTCTAGCTCGTACTCTTCGCTTATCACTTTCCCTTTTTTAACACCCATCACCATAAACAATTATATATATCATTTAACCATATGTGCATTATTACCCCAGCAACACGTTTTAAATTTTTAATCATCAAAGATTTTTATTAGTATGTATATAAGTAGTCGTACCGGGTAATTTTCCCGGTTTACGTAGAGGGATGAACTTGGCACCTATGGCTAATGCGATGGGAGGTCCAAATATGAATCCTCTCGCCTCTACTCCTGCACAATGTCCCATTTTTATTTTTATTAGTCTGTTTATTTAATCTGTGAAATCGATTTAAACATAAGCATATCTTATTAGTGGTTTGGTTTCCATTGAATCCTTAAAGGGTTCATAATAAGACAAAACCATTTTTTCAAACGGACGCACGATCGTGACGAAGATACAAAAGACTTTTAAAAGAGATAAGTAATTAGTCACCAACCACACTAGCTAAGCTACTAGTATGTGAGTGTAAAATCATTAATCCATAAAACAAAAAGTTGTCTATTGTTTATTCAATCTTGTTATATTGGGAGATATGATTCCACTTCGGATTCTATCATAAAGGGGTTTGATACAATTTATTATTGTCGTAATATAAAATAATAGTAATTTTTGAATCTATGCGTTGAGGTTCAAGAAATGATATATCGTAAAAATCAGCAATTATAGTAGACAATGAAACATAAAAGAGGGGGAAAGTGAAAAGAACCGGCAACGAGAGAGATGTTCATGTGCTTGTAACGATCTACGAATATGTCAACGACATGCTTGAAGGCAACTGGATCCAACAACAGCGTCGTTATGTCCTGAAACATGATTCCTGCAACACAAAGACGTTGAAATTAATTAATGTAAATTAAAGTAATTAATATGAGTTGATGATGAAAGCACTTGAACAAAAAAATAAAGAAGATGAAAACTGGACCAGTTTTGGGGAAGTGAGGGATGACTCGAATGGCGTCAGAGATGGCTTGTAGTCTTGGGTCTCCCTGCAATCCATTCTCCACCGCAAACATCTCTCTTTCTCTCTCTCACTTACTCGTGTGTGACGAAGAAGATGAAGAGAGGAAGGTGTTGAGTGTATTTATAGCATTTATTTGTTTATCACCCACTCATCGTACGTCTCCATCCAAAGTTACTATTCCTATTCATTTTTTCTAGAAATGAAATAAATCAAATTAACCTCGCTTAAAAGTTGAAACAACCACCAATTCATGGTGATCATATCAATGCATAACTCAAGGTAGTGGTGTTTCTAGTTGTGATTTTATAATTCCATCATGGTTAATTACTATAGATCCCCTCAGGGCCGGCTCATGGTTTATAGAGATCCTTGGGCGAATTTTTTTAGGTCCTTCAATTACTAAAAGAAATTATTTTAGCATGATTTTTTAAAAAAATTATAATATATAAAATGTTATTAACTTTAAATATAAATATAAATATTTAAATACATGATTATTTTTTTTGTTTTAAAAAGAGTTTAATTTTTTCTTTAACAAAATTAAATCCCTAATATCATGGACTCCGGAGCGGTCTCACTACTCGCCCCCGTAACTGAACCGGCACTGTCCTATGTAAACAAATAGAGGTTCTGTTCTTCACTAGCACACGGGATTAGTATGAGTTATACTCTATAGTTAATGAACGAAATTATAAAAGTTGGTGGTTAGAGAGAAAAGTAAATGGTAGGAAACAGGTATATAGGCATTTCATTTCTAATGTAATATTCTAACAAATGAAATGATGAACATTATAGTTTCATCGTTGGAATAATTCTATATTTTAACTTCGTTTTTAAAATAGGTGTGGGATTTAAATTTATTCTAAAATAGAGTTTAAAAATAAAAATAGAATAGAGTAGCTGGTGTCCCTATATCACATTATCTTCAATGCACATCCAAATGATAATCAAGTATTTTTTTAAGAAATTGATTTATGGTAAAATCTCTGTTCTAAAAATCGGCCGCTTAACCGCCTAGGCGGCTGTTTAGGTGTTAGGCGACCCTCTTCCATTCCGATTTATCTCAAATCGTTGTAGAAAATTGGTCGTTCGATTTTAGCCGTCTAGATAACCGTCTAATCTATTTTTTACTTTTTAATATATTTGTATTTATTTATTTGATCTAAAATTTAATAAATACAACTTATAATTATAATTTTGATGAAAATTATATCATATTAATTTTATATATTATATTTGTGTGTGTTTATAAGATTATAAGCATGAAAATGTATTAATGTTATACATAATTAAAAATTAACAGATTTCATAACATATCAAATCGTCTATAAATTATGTTCCGTATAATTTCCTCGATTTTTTCTGTAGTCGCTAGGTCCAACCGTGCTGTCTGACTAGCGTCTAGCGCGTTCCCGAACATGGGGTAAAATTGACATTATTATAAAAGTTTTACAAGGGATTAATATTTTACTAACACAAACAAAGAAAAATGTGAAAGAGGACCCACTCGGGAGTAGTAGAGATCAAAACGTACGAGTGGCTATATCAACTGTTTAACCGCACGCCTGCTCACTCTCTCACTGTTTGCATATCATATTTTCTTCTCTTCCCACTTCTCATTTCTTTCCTTTTGCTAATGATTACTTTACTATAGAACATGAGGAATATTACCAAATCTTATTAGCATCGTGTTATGATATATTGACTCTATATAAAGCAAACTGATTGAATTAATTTTTGTATTATATCTCATCATCATCAGAAGTAGATTGGTTGGTTTTAGATTTCGGGTAGATATTCCGTTTGTCGTTTTAAGCTCAGCACTACTACGTACTTCTCACCCTATCAACGGGATAAGAGATCACATCACCATTAACAACAACCACTGGTTTGTCCTCCTCCACTTTCCCCTAATTGATTCTGAATAATCCCATTACACATAAAGAGGACCTATGATTAATTATCCTTATTTTATTTACACAAAAGACAACCAAAAGGGGGCAATATTTATAATTTAGTAGCCTTGAAGGGAATTTAATATAATAATAATGCCTATAAAAACACACATATGAGAGTAGTGTTCTGTTGTTCAAAAAAAAATGGAGAGTAGTGGTCTGACATATGAATTCAAATAGACATATCTGAGAACAGGGAAATGAAGAAGAAGCAAAATCAAAATCAATCAGATGATACTATCCTCTGCACTGGTCAGTTCTGAACCAAAAATGCTTTCATGATTTCATGTACTATTGACACTCTTGTCTTAACTTAATAAAATGACACATCATTCACTCATCATGGTCCTTCAAATCATACTTTGATATATGTATGTGGCCGAGTCACATCCACTCGTAGAACTTTTAGATCTAGTAGATCTAGTGAGAGATCTTAGTGGTTAGTTTTTTTCAGGATCTTGAAATATTTAGAAGTGGTTAAAATGTAATTAAGTTTAACTTGGTTGCATAACAGCTAAAAGTAGAGTAAAAATACCCAAAAGCAGTTTTAAAAGATGATGAAGTTTGAAAACGAAAGACAAAGGAGTGAGCACCTCACAAATATCTTTCGTGCAGTTAATTTCAAAAGAGACAGAGAAGGACACCAAATCTTGGGAGGACAAGCACTACCCAAGATCTCCTCTGCCTATTTCATTCACATCTTCTTATTTTTATTTGAGGGGAAAAAACAAAAACAAAAACAAAAAAAGACATAAAGAGTCGAAAGAGAGGGACTGGACCATGTGACTATGTGCTCTCTTATAACAGTGACATCAACTCTAATCAACACAATGAAAACCAAAGATCCCACTTCCTTTGCGTTTTTACTGTTTTGACAGATAGTGCACGTTACTGTATTACACAGCTCTCTTCACCTTTTGATGCTACAGAGAATACATGACAGAGAGACTATTAACACGTCATATATTAGGACCCACGTGCAGATATCTATCAGTCATGCCGATTTCTTATAAACGTGAAACATGACCTGTAAGAACCTGAGTGGCTGTGCCTTGAGATAACTTTACTGAGAGTTACCAATAGGGGAAAAACAATCCAATACAATAGGGGAAAACCATCACATCTTTTGCCAGTAGAGCTAAATCTTCTATGTGTATGCAATATCGCTCATGGAATGTCAATAAACTTATTTTTATGTCACTGAAAACCAAAATACTATTTGAATTCTCGAGAGGTAGGAAAGGAAACTTTCTTGTAACAAAAGGGCAAGAAAAGAAACTTCGTTTATTAGATTACACTTGGATAGGATAATATTCACAACAGCAGTTTTTTTTTTAAAATCCCTTCTCTAACAAGAAAGTAGTAAATAACCAAAATTGAACACAACAAAAAATGCAGATAGACCAAAGAAGCCCAATGACCTTGAACCGTCTGACACGTACGTTGCTTTGTCCTCCATCACATTGCCACCACCTACTCTAGATAGATGCTGCACCGTACCAGAAGGACCAGGTCTCTTTGTTTCTCCTTCACACAACTTGACACTTGAACCGAAGACATCATCCAAGTAACTCTCACTGTTCACGCACAAACCGGTATTGTTATAAAGCCTCAGCTTTCTCCTCATCCTCCACACAGTGTCTCTCTCGAACGGTACTGGCCCTGTAAGACTGTTATCGTTTAGCCTCAGCTCGCTTAGATGCTTCACGCCTCGAAACTCCATAGGAATTGAACCGGTTAAGTTGTTGCCCTCTAGATGAAGGACACGGAGACTGGTTAACCGAGTCAAAGATCCTGGTATTGAGCCCTGGAGACTCATATTCGAGAGAACAAGAATCATCAAGTTCTTGAGACCTTTGAACACGTTTCCAGGAATAGCTGCTGCGAAGTTTGTATTCCCTTTGAGCACCAAAGCTTGAAGTGAGTTTAGTCCTTGGAGAGAAGACGGGAACGGACCTGATAACCGGTTATAGCTCAAATCCAAAAGCATTAGTTGGTTTAGCCGGTTAATGGAGTCAGGGATAGGACCGGTGACTCGGTTATGGCTAAGATCGATTTTGATCAGCGAATCACAGGTGGAGAGTGTAGATGGTACCGGTCCGGTTAATAAATTATGGTTTAAGTCAAGAACGTTTAGATCCGGAAGAAGCAAACCGGGAATCGAACCGGTTAAACGGTTTACGCTCAGATCAAGCGATCTCAAACCGGATAACCGGTTAAGCGACAAAGGAATCGAATCGTTGAGATTATTCTTATGAAGATCAAGTACTTTCAAATTGGTGAGGTTGCCCAACTCGTTCGGGATGGGCCCAAAAAGGCCGTTCTCCCTCAAAACGAGAGTCTGCAAACTCGAGCCCAAGCGGCCCAGAAACGAAGGTATCTTCTGTGGAGCCCGGCCCAAACAGCGATAGAAGAACAAGGCTTTGAGGTGTTTAAGTCTGGTGAGGGACTCGGAGATGTAAGAGCGTTCCGGGTCACAAGTAGGGAACGCCGTGTCGTCTGAGAGAGCTCCGAACGATAAAGAGACCACGTGGTAGACGTTATCCTGATCAGGCATACACTCGATTCCGTGCCACCTGCCTCGACACACGTCTGGAATCGCAGCGGCCCAGTCATTGCCAGTGGCACGCATGATGTCGTAGACGGCGTCTTGCTCGTCGGGATCTGTGTGTGCACCGTCGTTGGTCATCGTGAATCCTGTTTGTGGACCATCGATAAGTGCGGATGGAGCCACCGTGTCGGAAGTGATTACGGTGAAAGAAATGGCTAGTGGAGATATCATAGAGAACACAAGGAGTATTTGGCAGTAGAGGACGACATACTGTGCCATTTTTTTGTTGTTGTTTAGTTTCAAACTGTGTGTCTACGTGTTGTATATATCTATATTTATTTTTTTCTTTTTTGAAGTTTCGTGGGTCCAAAAAAAAACGTTCACTTAAATGTCATTATGGCTTTCACGGGATAACTCGAGGAATGAAATTTATCATTTCCTGATTTCTGCATTTATTGGGTTCACGAGATATTTGCCTTTGGATTGGTGTTCGGGATTGAACCGGTTTCATAAACGGGTGGATTTTACCCGAACTCTTCTTAGCTCAGTTCATTTACTTTCCTATTGGGCCGCGACCCTATTCTTTCCACGAATTGAATTTTCTGTTCACACACAATCATGGGTAACTTTATTAAAAGAAAACATTTATTGGTTTAAGATTATGATAATCTGATATCATTCAATCTTTTCGATGTATAAATGTCCAGCCTAACATATTTCTAAGTTCTACATGTGGTAATGTACAATTTATTGCAAATCTAAAAAAAATAACAGAAGAACCCCTAGGAACAAAAGAGAAAGTACAAACAATGCTAAATTTTAGGTGACCTGTTGGTTGTTTCACCGCTGCGTCTAGCGTCAGCGATCAAAATATAACCTTTCGTTACGGCAACACAACACCGGTGAAGGTTAAGTTCTAACTTATTTCCCAAACACAGCGTTAAGTAATAGTGAGTGAAAGAGACTTTGGAATTAATAGCGCCAGCCGTGTCACCGACATTTCACTTTTTGTATCTTCGTAATTTATTAGCGTCTTTTGACTTTATTAATTTTTGTCACTATGCTAAAACCAGAGGTCATGAAACGAACAGGGCTACTAAGAGAAACTCCGTCCATGGTATGGTATGAGGGGTGCTCTTGTACAACCAGGTCCCAAGATCCAGTTTGAGGAGTCACACTGTCACAGTGTATTCAAGGCCGGCCGAAGGAGAGAAAGCAGATGGTGAATGGTTAATCGGGTGGTGACTGTAAGAGCAAGATGTCACAGTCTAGGAGGTGGGTTTTGCCAGATCCAAAATGCTAGATTCTCCCACACATCCTTTGAAATTATTCAAAGCCTGAAGAATAAATGGTCATGTGTCTTGATCCGCGCTACATGTAACTCTTAATTCTTCATCTCTTCATGTATCACAATCTACCAAAAACCCTTTGTTAGATGAGCCACATTCATACTTTCATTTTCGTTTGGTGTACTATATTGAGTATTTAACCCGTATGGAAAAATGATGTTTGTTCGGAATTAAAGAGAGGAATCCCCGAGTCATGTTGCTTGACATACACGCTATTGGTACAGGGGATTTTCCATTCGATATTTTTTGTAAGATAAAAAGATCAAAACAAGCATACTTATGAAATATTGAACGGGGAGAGTAACTAATGAGTAGCACGGGGCATAAACAAATTAGAATAAGACAATTTCTTTGATTTTTGGTATATATTTCTGTAATCATTTAAGAAATCTATAATCATAGTTTAATCACTAGTTTTAATCGGTAATATAAACTAAAAAGCCTCCACTCATTATGCGCTCCACTCTTATATTACTCACTCTGATAGCATGGAAAAGTGTACATATTTATATTTGTTTGTTCCGTTTCCAAGCACGCCCTTTGCTCCTTTTCAGTATTTCTACTTGCATTTTCTCGATAATGCGACTCAAGTTACATTATAGTATAAGCTATTAGAATATGTTTTCATCTATTGGTTATACACTAGGTCACAATAATTACTCATGAGCACGCTTTTGGTGTTCTAATATCATTTTTCGTTAGTTATCGTTACTCTTTATAAATTATATACTTTTAGGTTCGACGGAGACTCATTAAGAAGGATGATTAGACCCATATTTATACGTGCCAACTCTTTTTGTTGATTTTCATATGTCGTGTGTTATATATGTATATCGATGCAATCATGCAATACCCAAAGTTGTGAGGAAAAATCACCTTACTTTGGTTGAGTACACTATATATGTATACCGATGCAAATGCAATCATGCAATACCCTAAATTGTGAGGAAAAGTCATATATGAGGAATTCAATTATTATATCATTTTTTTTTTTTTTTGCATATTTACACTTTAGAATATTGACCAAGCCATATATACATAATTACATATGACACTTGTTGATTGAGCTATTTGTATGTCACAGACATTTTCTGTCATTTCGACATAGTAAAAAGACTTTTTTATCGTTGGTGTTTAACTACTGCTATATTTACCTTCTTTGGGGGAAACAATTCACGCATGTTTCTGTGTTGTGTTTGTGTTTTTGTCCTCTTATACAGTTTCTAAAATAAATTATACAATTTATATTTATTTGATCGAGAAAGGGAGAAGCCTTTTTAGGATTAGAAAAGGATGGATTGAATTTGAAGCATGGAGAATAGCGAACACTCGCTGCAAAGTTAGTGGGAAAGCCTCTCGTCATACGAGGGAGCAACAAAGTGTGGGCTTTTCTTTTACATTCATATCAGAAACTAATGCATGCCCACATTTCAAATAACTATAATATTATTTTCCAGTGTCAAGACTCAAGGATGGATTAATCAGATCTTAAGACTCTTATAAAGAATATCAGTTATGTGATTATAAAGATAACTTATAAATGCTAGAATTGTATTCGTCTGTATTCATTCGATTGAGATTTTTTTTTTAAATAACCATGGATAAAGATGCATTAGACTGATTTAATTTTGAAAGTCGACAAAAAAAAAGACTGATTTAATTTATTTAATTTATTTTAAAGGATACGGTTAAAAGTGAATAAAGAAACATGCACTTTCTTGATTGAAGGTTTAACAAGGAAAAAAAAGATAGTCGATTTAAGGCAGATATAACTTAGAGGCTGCGGGAGGTGTAACCTGGTCTGACCGGTTACAGGTGGCTGTCGGGAGGTAAGAACGCCGCTATTGGCAGTGTCACGCGGGGTAACATAACCGGTGACTCAACTACAAGTACACACTTCTCTGTGACGGTCCCGTTTATTCCCCACACCCTCCTCGAAACTTACCCACTTTCTTCCACTAACCTTATTTTCACACACGCGTGAAATTTATATTTACACTCTTAACATAAATTTACTAATTAAAAAAACAAGGAACTGTTGATCACACGCTAAAAGTGGGAAAAAGTTAACCTGGTGACTGACTCTTAGAAGTGGGTCACCTCACCTCAGCACAGTATAAATACACCTGAATAAACACAAAGACTGATCATAAGATAATAAGCTCTTAGGAAGAAGTTGAAGTAAGCCCGGTTCGCTAAAAGAAGGGAAGAAAGATCGTACCGGAAAACCGGACAAGACGGGTGTGCCGTTGTGGATGTTGGGGTTGGGTGTGGACCGGCTTCAAGCCGACATCAACCGCCTTCTAACCTCCCTTTTCCACCAGGTTTTACTTACTTTATAAAACTATCTCTCTATTCATATTTATGTATATGTGGTGGTTCTAACTAAAAGGGATACTCAATGTTATACAGGGAGTGCTGGACGAGCAGTTCTTGCAGCTGCAACAGCTTCAAGATGACACTTCACCAACATTTGTGTACGATGTCATTAATATCTATTTCGACGAATCCGAGAAGCTACTCCGCAACCTTCGATTATTGCTGTTAGTTCCATGATCTGTATATCTTTATTCCTTTGAAGAAAAATATTGCGTGTCCATATATCTATTAGGTCCAAGAAAATGTAGATGAATAAAAAAAAATGAATGAACACAGGATGGATAGAGAATTTTCGGACTACAAGAAGATAGGTTTGCATCTGAATCAGTTGGTAGGAAGCAGTTCAAGCATTGGTGCTCGTAGGGTTCGTAACGTCTGTGTTGCCTTTCGCTCTGCGTCCGAGCTTAACAACCGCCCAGGGTATACAAATTATGAAATGCTATTTCATATATAATATTCATACTAATCAGAAATTGGGTATATAATGATTTTTTTTTTTTTAAATATCATGCATGGTGCATCAGGTGCTTGAGAGGGCTGGAGGTAGTAGAGCATGAGTATCATTATCTCAAGAATATGATGCATGAACTCTTCCAGGTACTTATTCACGTAATTAGTTACACACACAACAGTTTATATAACTACTTGATTGACCCAACATGAAGCAGGGCATATATTTTGGTAATTACTAATGTTACACTAATTTGCTGGAATGATTCTGAATACGGTTGCAGCTGGAGCAGCAGAGGCTATTGGCTGCAGGAGTCAGATATCCAATGTAGATCTTATAATTACGTTCTATCATAAAATTCCGATAATTAAGTAATGACAGATAATTAGTGACTGATGTACGGATTCGTAAGCTAGCCAAGCTTTTCTTTTGTTTTCTAATGCTTTGTTACTACTCTCTTCATAAATTTAAATTACAATCGCTTTATGTATATGTATATATGTAAACATACAAAAACTACTTTAGTCAGAAAAACGTAAAAAGCTACTCCCTATAAAAAGAAACTGGGCAGTGGATCAGGACGATAAAAGAAGACACTAGGCCCCAGAAAAGAAAGATATAGTAGCATCAAACAACGTCACGTCTATATTAATCAGACCAGTATTGAAATTTCAGGCTGTCCAATGAAACGATAAGTTAACTTTTTGGATAAAGCGTACTACAAGAACAGCACAGATGTTGGTATTCTATGACTAAATATTACGAAACAGAGGTAATCGAAATCGATGACTGTAAGAAAACGTGGACAACGTGGTTACTAACTCTAGATGTCTATCTTGTAAAATCTTCTCCAACAATAGATATGGTTTTAGAAATCTAAATCAATTTTTAATTAATAATAATCAAATTAAAAGTTTTAAATACTTGTTTAGTTTTAATCTTTCCAATTATTAAATCAATTAAAGGTTCTAGATTTTAAAAATAAGAGAGAGAAAAATAGTTGGGTGTAATTTTTTAAAAAAATATTAACCAATAAAAAATTGACATGTATCAACTTAGAATTGATTCTACAAATTTCATTTTTAGAATTATACCTATCTATTTTTTAATTTTTTTTAATTTAATTTTGAGCATATAATTAGATAAAACCATGAGATAGAATCTTCGTATATACCCCCTCTGTTTTGAGAATATGACTTTTTTCTGTCATGGAAATCACTGTTAAAGTTATCAACAACGCTTGGAAATGGTAGGAAGCGCAGCCGCTGTCTCCACTATGGGTTCCAAGACCGTCTCCCAACACCGCGCCCCCCACTGTTACACGTTTCCCACCTGCCCCACAAGGTACATTGCTCTGTTATATTGATGGAGCTTGGGATGTTGCAACTATGAACTGTGGTACATGAAGAATCTTTTCGGGTGCGAGCTCTAGCAGTAACCACAAACCCATTAGCGACTCGCGTCGCCTTGTCTCATCGGTGATCATGGCTGAATGCCTCGCCATCCGTTCAGCGGTCATGCATGCCGTCTCATTGGACACTAAATCCCTAATGATATTGTCTGATTCTCAATCCTTGGTGAAACTTTTGAAGGAGAAAGGCTCTACTACAGTTTTGTTCGACATCTATCACTTTAGTACCTTATTTGAGTTTATTTCCTTTACTTATGTACCTCATTTGAATAATGTGAAGGCTGGTTCGGTGGTAAAATCAGACCTCTCATTACTAAACTCTTCATCTTCTTTTGGAGTATAGACTTTGGATTGCAATGAAAATGTGTTTGATAAAAAAAAAAAAAAAACTTCGTATATACCCCATAAAAGATGGTCTAACACTCTAGATGTCTGTCTTGATATGTGGTGATGAACCGAGTAAGAAAAGGAAATGTGATTGCTTACTTTAGGCAGTTGTCTGATGACTAAACCGAGACATGTGTGACTTCATGGCCCAATACAAACTGAAATAACACAAGAATATAAAGTTAGCAGGCCTATTTAAGAATCAAATAACATCCAGGCCCAATAATCACTAAAGTTTTGTTAGTTCATTCTCAAAACCCAAAAAAAAAACCTTAAACCTCCGTTCCTCTCCAAAACCAGTCCCGTCGATAATAGCCTCCCCGCTAATCTCCGGTCAATCTCACCGATCCTCACATCGAAATTTCTCTCCTTTCTCCCCTCAACCGCTCCTCCGTCTTACTATCATAACCATCTGCGCTAACTTATTATAGCATCTGTCGGCGCGATTTTCTCGGAGATGTGTGTTGTTTACAATCGCATTGCGTTTTTAGATTAATTTCGATTGAGGTAGTCTAGGGTTTGATCAAATCTATTTGAATCTGGTTTTACACGGGCATGCTTAACCTCGAGGAAGGCCCTGTAACATGCTATCTCTGCCACCACACATTCGCAGATCCTTCCTCCGTTCTTGTTCCTCTATAGCCGCCACTGCTCTTACATCCACCTCTCACGTCCCACCTGAATCCAACCACAAGGATCCTGCTCTCGTCAAGCTTAAATCCGAGAGAGACCCTGAGAAGCTATACAACCTCTTTAAATCCAACGCTACTAACCACTTGGTGGTTGAAAACCGTTTTGCTTTTCAAGATACGGTTTCAAGATTAGCCGGAGCAAACCGGTTTGATTACATCGAGGAGCTTCTTGAGCATCAGAAGACGCTTCCACAAGGGAAGCGTGAAGGCTTCATCGTTAGGATTATTATGTTGTATGGTAAAGCTGGAATGATAAAGCATGCTTTGGATAGTTTCTATAATATGGATTGCAAGAGGACTGTTAAATCTTTCAATGCGGCTCTTAAAGTCTTGACTTTGAAACCTGATCTAGACACTATTCAGGACTTTCTTGGTGATGTTCCGTTGAAGTATGGGGTTGTAATGGATGTTGTTTCTTTTAATATTGCTATTAAGTCTCTCTGTGAGATGGGGTTTCTTGATAAAGCTTCTTTGGCGATGAAGGAGATGGAGAAGTTTGGGTTAAAGCCTGATGTGGTCACGTATACGACGCTTATCTCTGCTTTTTACAGGCAGGACAGGTATGTGATTGGGAATGGACTGTGGAATTGTATGGTGCGTAAGGGATGTAAGCCTAATCTCACTACCTTTAATGTTAGGATTCAGTTTTTAGTGAATAGGGGACGAGCTTGGGATGCTAATGATCTGTTGATGTTGATGCCGAAACTTCAGATGGAGCCGGACAGTGTGACGTATAATATGGTTATCAAAGGGTTTTTTGTAGCGGGATTTCCTGAGATGGCGGAGAGAGTTTATACAGCTATGCATGGTAGAGGTTACAAACCTAATGTGAAGATTTATCAGACGATGATTCATTATTTGTGTAAGGCAGGGAAGTTTGATTTGGCGTATACGATGTGTAAGGATTGTATGAGAAAGAAGTGGTACCCGAATTTGGATACAGTTGGTGTGCTGCTGGATGGGCTTGTGAAGAAGGGTCAGGTTGATCAGGCTAAGGTGATAATGGGGTTGGTTCGGAAACGAGTTCCTCCTTTCAGCTCAAAACAGTTGCTCTCTCTGGAGTCTATTTTGTAACGGTGTTTACATGAAGTTTGTTGCATTGACACGATAATGGGGGATCAATGGATTCTCTTACTTTCTCCAGAGCTTCTCTTGTATAGTTGTGGTGGAATTGGAACATGGGTCTAGTCCCATATTAGGAGGCACTAACATCTTCTTTTTAGCAGATTTCAACTATTTGTTCTTCCAACGTTATTGAGGCTCAGGATGCTCCAATGAATACTGAGTAAGTCTTAGATAACAAACACTTGCTTGTAGAAATGTAGTTTGTTACATGATGTTATGTCCTCTTTCTGATTTCAGCTGCGAGGAGCAATTTGGCATACGCAGATATGTGGCCAATCTTTCGCACAGAAAGACATGGATAGGAAATTTGTTTGGTGATGCACACACACACTGGACTCAAACAACGAACGAGCCCGGGAAAAAAGTAGGAATCTTTTACCAATAGAAGTAAAGAACTGAGGAAGCAAGGAGAAGCTCCTTGTTATTTGAGAAGATGATCCATAATTTATATGTACCATTGGATCAACAGTATTCTTTTGATTACCAAAATAAAATACATATTTAATGTCAAATTTTTGATCCCATAAATGAGAAAGCAAACAAAATTTTATATGGTGTAACCTTAGATTTGTTTTGAAACTCTAGAGAATTGTTGTTTTATCAGACATAATAACAGAGGCATGGCTGAAAATCTTAAGGACACTTTGACTGTTTGGTCTAAACTTGTGGTAACATTATGATATTAGAGATGTTACTTGTATAGACTAGTATAATTGAAACCTTTTAAGCATATACCAATCTAGGTCAAATATAGATATGGTATGGAATCACACATGGGATCCTTCGTTAGTACATGTTATATGTTATCACACTGAAGACGAAGCTGTCGACGGAAGTTTTGAATGAAAGCCTCAGCGCATTTGTCCACGTCATGATAAATCGTTGGTTTACTGCTCTCTAACGTTGTATTGTCGTTTGAAGGTGTTGTTCCCAATCTTCTCTTCTCTGTAGTAACCTTGGCTGAGTTGTTAACATTAGGAGGACAGTGCACAGCATAGGAACTCATCTTCCTCCTATTTATGTGTGTTATAGGGCTACTCTGATGATTGAATAGTGTGGTGAGTGTTATTATTCATTGTGAGGATGTATTTATAGGATTATTTGTTATCCTATCTCTCTGGTCTTTTTGGTCCTTACGGAAGGAATAACTTAATTGTAAGAGTTGGAATGCTGAATTTGACGTTTGCCGCTAATGGATCAGTTAAAATCATATAATCACTTATCCATATTGCCGTTTGAAGGTACAAATATCTTATAGTATATCCGTTAGATCATATATTATATACGTTTCTATATTAAACAGGAAATTAAGCATCAAATCATAAAATACTCTTTAGAAAAGGAAAGGCATGGAAAAAAAATCTAATCTAACAACAGGATTAGATTATTCATATGCTATAAGAGATAAGCCACCGAAAGGCTTCGTCGACAAAACGTTTCCTCAAACTTTGTTTTTCTTCTTTTGCAGATATGCATCCCTAGTGGTTTTTACTACATAAGTGTCTCATATTTATACTATTACATAAGTGGTTCATGACATTAGTCATAGTTATTACATCTGGCACTTTATGTTTCGGTTATTTGCAAATTCATGCTATAGTTTTTAGTTTCTCAACTGGTCCCAAAGTTTTGACCTGGCTTTTCTTTCGAATACCAAGAGGTTCGGAGTTGAAACTCGTAATCCCGAAAATCTGAAGCCATATCCTATAATATTAGTTTTGTCGCAAATGGAGACATGTGATCAGGGCCTTAGAAGGTTAAGGCGATTTTTTAAAGAGGATTTTTTTTGGGTGAATTTGGGTGAATACTATAAAAGAGAGAGATACTTAAGAATTGAGGGGAAAAAGTGGTATGTGGGAGAGGAGAGAGACGGAGATAAATAGGGTAGATCCCTAATTTAGTAGTTTTGTGTGTATAGAGGGTGTAAATACTCTTTTTTTTTAAAAGATCTATGTACATATAATTTTTTTGAAAAAAATTGAAACTCCAAAACCAATGTTTCATCTGGTTTGCCGCAGGATCGGCCCTGCATGTGATACAATGATGATAGTTCTTTCCACTTGAGTTAATGACCTTATGTAATAGGTCTCTCTTGTGGATAAAAGAAAGTTGATGATAAGGGGACAGAATTGGTGAACTGAATTTGCTAAAACATGAATATTCAAAAACGTTTGGCGTAATGCGTGGTATAAATTTTGCAATCTAATAACATGATTTCAAAGGTATGATACAGATGTAATCCCAGACTCAACCGACTGTTCCAAGAAACTTTCGTCACCTGAGAGGCAAGAAGGAGGGAATACTTGACCCGAACTCGAACCGTAAGCTTCCCAACAGAAGGACTCCGTGTAACCATCACTCTTTGATGGTTCAAGATCAATGTCTTGTAGAACTATGTTGCGGCACGGTGAAGCATCGCTGCAAGAGATCTTGATTGCTTGTTTTGTCGCTGAAGTTCCATGCACATTAACAAATGATATTTTCTCGATGGTAACAGCTGATGTCTGCAGTTTTTTTTGTTGAGTTTGTAACAGGTTCAGTGTCTGAGCTACTAAAGAAAGAAAATGGCACAGGTTCTTTACCTGATTCGCACACGGCTTCTTTGAATCGCAGTAATACTGGTCGATGATAATGGGGTTCGACACATTGTTCATATTGATGTTCCTAAAGATGATTTTTGAGACTAAACCACTTCCTCCCTGGGAAAAGACAAATAAAGGTTAAGTTGTTTCATTAAATTTCAGAAGGTGAAGTGAAACTATCAACCTGCCATGTTTTGATCCGAACACCATTCGCAGTGTCAGATATGAAGGCCGTATCAACCGTTACGTCTTTAACTTCCTCCCACGATTTCGATTTTCCTATGCTTCCAATGCTACCAAAAAAAAACGAAGTCTAACTTAAGATGATGGCTCTTTGTCTGCAACCACTGTTTTTGTTTGTCTGGCTTTAGTTATACCTTATGCCATGGCCAGGACCACATATAATGTTGCTGATGGAGATCTGTGACGAGTTTTTTACTATGGAAACACAATCATCTCCTACACACACATACAAACACACAAAAAGTAAAGCAGATATCAGTAATCAACATAGAGAGGATACTATATATCTTTAAGGTATTGATGATACTATAGAGAGGACACGGACCTGTACTGACTGTGGAGTTGTCTACCACTATACCACGAGAAGCGCTTATATGGATTCCATCTGTATTAGGACTACTGCCTGGAGCTATGACCTGAAGAGCAGAGATGGTGACACGGCGACAGCTCGTGAAGGCAATATGCATCTGCTGACTATTGATTACACTGAGGTTTTCAACTCTCATATTCTTGCATTTATGGAATGTTAATGCCTACAAAGAAACAGAGTTTCACTTGTCACAAATGTAACCACACTCACCAAACAGAAAAAGGAAACTAATAGGAGGATTGATTACCGTTGGGGCGCCTCGACAAGGCTGCAAAAAAAAAGCCAAAAGATAGTGAGAATCACTTTAGTTAGATCTGTGAAGACAAAGACAGCAAAAAGAGAAAAACTTACATTGGAATGATTGTGTTTGCAAGATCTTCTCCACCATTCCTGACCCATTCCATTAACAGTGCCACCTCCTTCGACTGTAAACCGGCTCACGCTGTGAAAGTATAGCCACTTCCGAGGGTTTAGACCTTCCCAAGCATCAGGGTCATCAGGAGCAATGATTGTACCAGAGATCTATAGTTAAGTAAAACAGAACACACATGACAATCAAGGACCAGAATATGAATGAATGAAAATATATTGCTTTAAAAGATAAAAGCTTTTAGGACCTGGAGAGTGAGTCTTGCTTTACAAGGACCAGAAAGATCAATGGGACGAACAAGAGAAGTGTAGTTTTCAGGGACCAAGACTCTGGTTTTCCCTTTAGACGAACAAGCTGTCTTCCAAGCATCTTCAAACGCCTGCAATACCAAATGTTCTCACAATTTAATCATTCATCCCACAAAACCTGTCTGAGTTTACTACTTGTCTAACTATCATGTAAGAATTGAAATTCAAGATTTCAGGAAAGAGTTGTTTTTTTAGCAATTCATTACTTACTTTAGTGTCGTCGGTGAAGCCATTGCCTTTTGCTCCGAAATGGCCCACGTGAATGAGCCGTTCGGATCTGGGTCGGGTTCGGGTCGAGCGCGGAGACTGTCTCCGCGGGAGCTGGAGGAGCGATTCGAAAGAACTCGCGTTTGCCGCGGTCAGAGAGAGTGATAAAACGACTAGCAGAAGCAAACGAGTGGCAATGCATAAATAACTCATTGAGACTTCGCGTGATTTTTGGTAAATTCGAGTGGGGTTTTATAGTTATAAAGATTTACATTAAAAGATGAGGTGGGCACGTTGTAGTTGAACATAAACAAACATTCTATTTATAACTAAACGAATTACGGATCTATCTAGATACCTTCAAATTTAATTTTTCGTGATTATAGTAATGGTGAAATGACTTTATGTTTAGCCACAAAGAAAAGAAAAACATGCAAGAAAGCTTCTATTTTTCATGGATTTTAGTAATGATGTCCTTTGAAATTTTACAATCTATTATTTCCTCTTTTGATTAAATGTTAGGTAATCAATCAAATTATTCAAGAAGAATGACTCATCTTTATAGAGTTCGGTGTTACGGGCTAAAGCCCAAACAAATAAACGGCTACAGATTAGTCTATAACACAAATAATGAACTAAGTAATGATACATTTCAAGAAAACAGAGTAAATACTCTTATCATCATATGCAATCTTGCAAATTATTACGTATCACGCAATAAAAGATAAGTTTGTTTGAGTATGATGTATAAGCTTAATAGCGTGTGCTGGTATTATCCTTTGTGTTATCATTCATGTTCAACTTACTCTCCCCATAATTTACGTTACTGATTGTACTAAAGGATGTGTTTTTTTTGTTTAATGCATATATACTTAGGGCTGGGCATTTTATCCGTTATATTTGATTCGATTCGTTATTCGTTTCGATTCGATCCAAAAATTTCGGATATCCGTAAACTTTTGAATCAAAGCAAATACTAAAATTCAATATCCGTTGAAATCGAATCAGATCACAAATATTAGAATTTTGGGAAGCGGATATCCGATCCGATCCGGAAATATATAAATATATGTATGTTTAGATTATATTTAAAATTTAAAATGTATAAAATTATATAGTTATTATTCTAGCACATGATTTTGAAAAATTCTATTCACATTATTACTTATATAAAAGTATTACATAAAAAGAGAGAAACATTTTTATGACAATTATATTTTTTTCTTAAATTTTGTGTTATATAATTGTAAGTTAAACTTAAAAATTACAAAATATGTAAATTCACTAGTTCTTTTAATTTTTATTTTATATATCATGCAAAAAAATATTTTTGCAAAGCAAATTTGTATCAAAATCTTAAGATTATTTATATTAATCAAAATGGATGAGATATTCGTAAATATTCGTAAATATCCGCAAATATCTATTTATTTTCTGGATATCTGGTTTTCCGGATATCCGTATTTTTTCGAATCAAATCAAATATCAAAATTAGATATCCGTAGTATTCGAAGCAAATCACAAATACCTTAAAATACCCGGATATCCGATCCGTGCCCACCCGTATATATACTGAATCAACATGAAATTCGGGAAATGTATATCCAGTTACAAACAGGTTTTAAACATGGTTAACCTATTGCTGGTTACGGAAAGCTTCGTCCCTACTGGCATTTTTTTTATTCTTCAGTTTATGTGCTTTTTGCTTTTTAAGTTATTGTTGTAATGGGTTCTATGAACCTATTTCTCTGAACTCTCGGAGAACAAACTCAATTTCAACACTATAAAAAAACACAAAATTTTCAAAATTAACCTAAAACAAAACTAGTTTTGCCCATCCAGTAATCTCAGCATGTTCCACTAATCTGTCGTTCGGAATCCTTTGAAGTTGGTAACCGTTTTCAACCATAGACGATGATCCAAAAAAATGAAATTCTCCTTGTTATCTCAAATACTGAAATTTCTTAATATCGTCTCCGGAATAACTAGTTCCCAATAAACTAAACCGGGCACAAAAGCCTTGCAAAAGGATGTTGGTTATTTATTGAAAAATATAGAAAATGCATGTTATTAATTTGCAGTATGATTCAACAAGTTTAGGTCTGTTTCTTGTTTTGGAAATTCGAAGAAACTCTTCGAAAACACGTTTCTTGAAAGAATTATTTTATAAACACGATGGAAACTTGTGTTTCTGATTTGGAACCCGCGATTCTAATTTGGAAACTCGTGATTCTAATTAAAAACGCAAAAAAAAAATATTTGGCATTTAATGTTAGTGATTACATATTTATTATTTATTATTTTAATATTATATTTTAATATTTGTTATTATTTTAGTATAATGATTTGGTTTGAAATGAAGCCGCTCCATATTTTTATCGAATGATAATATGTGTTATTTTCTAGTTATTGATTATAATTTTAATAAAATGTACAAAAAAATATTTATATAACTTTAATTTTTTCTCTTAGATAAATCAAACAAAAAAAACAAGTTTACATGTTGACTATTCATACATATATATACACATATATATATTATAGACGTTTGTAAAACGTTTTCATTTTTTCATTTTTGAAAATCATACACGTTTCAAAATAGTTCATTTCGACGTATCGGTTTCCGATTCCATGTAACCTAGGATATTACCGTGTTTGAAAACGTGGAAGTGGACTTTACTGAGTTTTTTTTTTTTTTGAAAGTAAAAGAAAATCAAAGAATCAATAAATAGTTAAATAGTTTCACATCTCCGTCGCATTTCAGGCTCTAAATCTTGGATCCCGCCAAAAAAACTCCGACCAATAGAAATAATTAAATCATCCTGACAAATAGATCTCCGCCGCGAGTGCTGTTCCGGTGCAGATCCATTCCCCTTACCGGTATGTCTCTAAGTTCAACAATAGATCCACTTTTTAAGGTTTTTGTCTATCCGATTGAATCAGTGATACGAGTAACGATTACAACAACCGACTAGATTGATTGACGAATTGATAGAATTGATGACGTGTGGTCTCAGAAAATAAACAAAAAGAGAGATCCCCCCGGCATGATGTATGGGAGAAAAGGGTATCAGCTGGTTAAAGATTTTGCCAGCGGGGAGAAAGGCCTCCTCAAACCTTTCAATGTAAGCCTATGGAGATGAATGTTTTTACTGTTGCTGCTTGTTTAGTCACTAAACTTTGTTTTCAATCAATAATCAGAGCAAGCTTTTTGACGAGACAATAGAAGAATGCGAGCAGAATCACGGTCTCATCCAGTCTCTCATAACGAAAATGCAACAAGAAGGGTTGGATGTTCAAAACAACAGAAACGCTGACCACTATGGAGCACTTGTTCATCACCTTTCTCTCACCCGCAACAAGCGCTGCCTCATGGCCTATGTGTCTGTCCTCTCTCTTCCTTTTTGTTATCATAGCAAAATAAAAAGACTCTTCACAGTTTGTAATGATATTGGTGTGTGCAGGCACAATAGAGCAGAGATTGTTCGTGATTTGGCGTGGAGAGTTGGTCTTGTACTTCTCGAACTTCCACCTGATATCCAAGAGAAACTCACCGCACTTGAGAAGGACTACTTCAAGAACCATTCCAAAGCTATCAAATCGTACATGGGGAAGCTAGGAATCGAGTTGAATGTCGTAAGCCCTCTCCTTCCTAGTTCCTACCCTTTAAGTAATTTGAATATCTCTTTACTTGGTGGGGCTGTAACTCAGAGTAATTAATTATTCTTTTTTTTTTGGATTTGTTTATTTTTGAAGGATATGGTGCCTCCAAAAGATCCTTACATCAAGATCAGAGTTGTGGGAGATATCGACCAAGGAATTATGATGAGTGATAAGACAACAAATTTTACCCGTCACTCTATGCATTTCCTCAAACGAACTGATGCAGAACCTTACATTGCTCGGGTCAGTTTATTTTGTTCCTTCTCTAGAACCAGTTAACTTATCCGCCTTGTTTAATTGGTGGGAAGATTTAAAATACTGCTAGCAAGCATTAGCTTATTCAAATAGGTAGAAACACGTTGTTTATAGCCTGCTAATGATAAAATAAAAATTATATCTAAAGAAAGGGAAACAAGAGTTTTCTTGGAAGTAGGAAGTGTAGTAGGGTTTAAAATCGATGTAAAGATGAATGTTAGTGTAGTGTGACCCTTGGAGTTTCCTCAAGAATACTGGCAAACCATTGTTATGGTTTCTTTGGTCGACCATTAGCTTTGAGTTTTTGATGCTTTTTTCATGATATGCAACTATCATTGCACTTTTTCCTTGAAAAGTTCTAAATGGTCCTTTTTGATTGATGATTAAATATTTTATTTTCTTAAATCTTCAATTATGAATCTTTTGGATAACAGGGGCAAATGGAGGAATTGACAGGTTGATTGATCATCTAACGGAAGCTGTGGTCATCTCAGATTAATCACACGCTCTTGGTGATCAAACGAGTATCAGCTTATTAGTTAACTGAAAGATAGGGTCGATGAAAGAAACCCCTCATACCATAAACTCATGTACAATTTTTTTCTTCTATTCCAACGTTACTTCACAGCTTCTGTGAGTTAGAAGCTTTATTACGATCATCATCATGAATACAAACATCTGTTAATCGGCATAATCTTGGAATAAAAGTTAAATCTTCCAGCACAGAAAAGAAAACAATAATGCTACAGATGGAGAAGAGATGGATGCCTGAATATGATACAATTGAAAGAAAACACAATGTCCAAATAGTACACAATACACAAAGAAGAAATGGCAGTTTGACAGTCTATTACTGCCTTCCTCCTAGGATCCTCTTCTGCTTCGGCTGCCAGAACCATGAGCCACACGAGATAGTCCTCCACTCGTCTCTGCTCCTTTAAGTTTCTGTGCTCCCAGAGCCTCAGCTTCATCCATCAGCATTGCTAACTGCTCAACACACAACGGTTTTTTTTCGTCAGAACAAAAACATAGTCAATATTCATGAGAGTTGATTACTTATAAGGGGAATCATTCATACCCGGATCTTGTTTTCCCTCAGCCTATCTTGAAGTGCGTTAACCGCAGGACTCAAGCTGCAAAAAATATGAAGCATCTACTTATGTAAACCGCAACAAATAACAAAACCACAGTATCAAATGTTTTATACACTCTTTTCACTAACCAGTATTCGATTAGCTTGCACATGGAAGCCTGATATGTTGATGTGTTGTGAATGAAAGCAAGGGGATGGACTTTCCCATTTCTATAGAAGAATCAAGAAGTAGCTTTTGCAATAAGTCTCCATGACTAAGTTAGGTATAAATTAATAAACTGTATAATCAACATGAATCTTAAAAACCTCATGCTTTGTTGGACTGATTGGTGGTACGCTGCTCGTTCCTCCTCAAATAGCACTCGTTGCAGATCTTTATAAGAGGCTAAAGGTGAATTGAGCTGAAGAAGTGATGAAGTTGGCAAAACATGAAGCGGGACTTCTTTTCTAGCGTACCCCACACCACTGCATGCAGAAAAAAGTCTTTAAGCATGAGTCATTGCGTAGTAGATGAATGAGACGCAATGTTGATAAAGCCCAAAAGTACCTAGTTTCCAAGTTGGAACGGAGCATGGCCTCTTGCATGCTTTCAGACATATCCATCGGATCAATTTCCACAACTGAGCTGCTGGCATTGCCTGAGTTGTAGTTTCCACTCGTCCCGGTGGCGTTGGACGCAGCATTGTTAACAAAGAACGCCCCAAAATCTGAAACTCGTCCCCCACCCTATTCAGGCATACACAAATACAAGGCATGAAAATAAACATCAATAAGTATTATATGTAAATTAACCAATGGTTCAGTAAGAGAGAGAGAGAGACGTTTAAGACCTTAGATGAAGAAGTTGAAGCTGTGTCAGTTGTGTCTTGGTCAGGATTGTGTCCCCCAACAGAAGAGGAACTCTGGTATATTGAGTCTGAAGAACTTAAAGAGGATTCTAGCTCTATGACAGAGTCTTTATTTGCAAGAACCAAGCTCATTGATTTAGGAGGAGTATTGGGGTTCCCATCAGTGGACTGGAAAGCGATAACTTGGATTCTACCAACCTAGTAAGCCAAATTCATCAAAGATGAGAAGAAGGTTTTTTCCTGAAAAGGATTCAACTTTACTAAACTATATTCATAGGGAACAAATACTAACTAAACTAACCTTGTTAGCGTCTTCACTAAAACAGGAGAAAATGAGGCCAATAAAACCAGAATCAAGAAGCTGATACATTGCTTGTGTCCGTACATCTGCCAACAAGAAGTATCCATGCTACTTAATCCTCTCATAAAGTAGCTTTAAAAGGTCTCTAGGAAGACAAATTTTAATAGGAACATACCGACATGGGAAGGAAGGACGGTGATATGAGGATGGGAGTGATACCATCCAATGACACGTGTTGTTCTTCCCGTTGATATGCTCATTCTGTGCACAGTTTTAGGTCAAGAAACTCTCTATCTCTTTGTATAATCATATAACGAAGCACACAATTAAAGTGTATGTAGTAATAGCAAAAAAAAGGATATCTCAGCCTGAGCAGAAGCAGCTGCCAGCTGTTCAGGGTTGGTCTCAACTCGATCCTTCTGCCTATCAGACCTTGACTGCGGCGACGCTCCCCATATCATAGCTGTCGCGCTTCCATTTTTCGAATACTAAATCAAATATCCCAAAAACAAATGAGAGAAAAATTTAGTGAAGCGATTGAATTAGCTGAAACACTATAGGATTCAGACAAAAGGAGAAAGAGGTTTAGAAAGAACCTGGATGTCGCCGAGGAGGAGACCCATGATTTCTTCTGTCTCAGTGGACAATGCGTGAGTCAAGCAAGTTAACCACACATCTTCCGACATATTCACGCATGTCAGAGCCATTAATTATTCTCCCCTTACCACAACAGATCTATTTCGATTACTTTTCCCTAGATTCTTCGATTTTCTTCTCGGGCCAAATTGGGGAAACAAGAAAGAAGGAACAGAAGAACTTTTTGGAACTTGCTTGCTTGCAACTAAGGAATTTCGCAGAGTTCGTGATTACATCACACGCGCTCTGGTGTGTACGGTGTTTTCCAATCTATCATCATCTGGACCGTCGGTATTCTTTACCTTTAATTGGGCCTAGCCCATTATTCTCTTTATATTTACTAATTCATATTAGGCCTCTTAATTTCTCAGATTAGATTGATCTTTGCCTACTTTACTAGCCCAAACTAGGATAAAAAGCGCATAATAAATTTATTTAAAAAGTATTTAAAAATATTATATGGAAAAAGAAATCTATATTCTTGATTGAATTAATATTTTGGTATTTAAACATTTTTTTAAATTTTTTGTTAACTACTTAATTTGTTTACTGATGAGTTGATCTCAATTTTTAGAATATTTTAGGTTAAAATATCACTTAAAGAACCTAACGTTTAGATCAAAAAAATTTGGGTATATTTGGTTACAATGAAACTATGTCAGATCGGTTTTATATCATGATTTAGTAATTTAAAAATTAATTGTGGTTATGAAAAGTTTACGTTCACGTGGCAATCCTATCTTTTTGTGTCTTTTTATTTTGTTTATTGCTCGATATAAATATTGATTTTGAATTTTATTCTCATTTCGTTTGTTTGTTTTGGCTTAAGATTTAGATAATGCTTAAGATTTAAAATAATTAAAGAGATACATACTTAGGTTAAGATCTACACTTTTTGCAGAATAAGCATTTTATATTTATTATTTATTTTATGTTTTTCTGCATATTATTAAATAATAAAATAAGAAGTATATATATTAAATGACTAAGAAACCAGTTACTGTTATGTAATAATTGGCGTGTGCATATAAATCTAACGAGCACTTTGTTTATTCATAATTAGGATAAATAAATCAAAACAATCAATCTTAGCTATCGTATATGATATATAATTAAATTTAAATGATATTAACATAGATATATAGCACACTTTAATATGTATATTTATTAAATGAAGTTTCTACTCATATGATTTTATGATTATTTGTATAACAAAATTCTACACCAACGAATTTTTTTTTTAATATGAGATGTTTAGTAGTTTCAGTAATTTATAATCATTAAAAAATAAGGACATATTTTAAAATTAAAATATTAAATTTTCAATATATGTTCAACGTAAATATCAAAATATTAGTATGTAACATTGATCAGATTGTTATCTTAATACAGAAAAAATTAAACATTGATCATAAAAACTTATGTGGGAATTTTAACAGTTTTAGTAATTTATAATCATTTTGAAAAATTGGAAACTGAACATAAAAATATAGATTTTTGTTAATGATTAACGTAACTATGTAATTTATTTTAATAATAAATAAATAAACAAAACGATAAAAAGTATACAGATTGTTATCACATCTTTATTCTTTAAAATCATTAATTGTCATATATACATTTTAATCACATTAGGTAATTTCATAGGTTTTATTTAAGAAAGCATGCGAAACAATAAATATTTAATATATGCAACCAACTATAGTGTGTGAAATATTATATTGTTAGAGAGTATAATTTTTAGATTATATAAAGTGCTCTAGAATCCTTATAAATTTAATAAGAAAACATAGAAAATTGTCACATAGAATAAAGTTATTTTTAAATTAATATAAATTTAAAATTACAAATTTTCGAATGTAGTGAAAAGTGTACTACATTTGGTAAGCTATGCTTCAGTCCCACCCATATCCTCAGTTTCTGTTTGAATTTTCAAATGACAACCTTTACTCATTTACTACAAAATCTTATTAGGTAACTGATCTTTTAAATCCTGATACTAAGGTTTCTCAGATATGTACAACTATGTAAAATTTTAAACTGGACAACTTTCCAAAAGATGAAAATTTGTTACCTACTTTGACAGATGTCCAGATCTTGTTATTTAAGTTAAAATATATAAAACATGTATAATTATAAATTATAATAGTTTTTACTAATATCAATACTGTATTATCCCAATTAAAAGTAGATAAAATAGTGCTGGTGTTGTATTCTCTGAATTTAATGTTGATAAAATATGTAAGTAAGTTGTAATAGTTTACTTTCCAATTGTTACTAGTGTCAGTGTTGTATCCAAGAATATCTGCATTGGATGATATTTACATGTTTGAGACACATCAAAATAGATAAACGCATTTAAAGATTAGGATTCTTTTAATTTTAAAAAACTAAAAGAAGAAAAAGGAGAATCTCTTGTTGATAAATTTATTCAAAATAATTAAAAAGTGAGATCTGTGTAATTTCTTTTCACTTTTTTTGTTTGTTTTATAGATTTTTGGTTGACTATATGTCAATGTGCTATTATATGAATAAATTTTGACTAGTTTCAACTTTCAAAGTGATCAAAATAAAAAGAAACAAAAAATATTTTTGAAAACAGAAAATTATTATTTAGTAATTGTAACTATTGATGGCATCATATTAAACGAATTAAGATCATTTAGAATACATATAAAATATTTTAATAAACTAGTTAAGGTTGGATTTGTTTCTTCAAAATAATTATAAAAGTGAGATCTGCATATTTACTTTTTCTAGTAATTAATTTATTTTTACTTTTTATTTAAAAAATTATGGTAACTATTCAATGTTTTGGGTTTAAGATTTTACTAGTGTTGGATGTTGGTACATCATGATCTAATTTAAAAGAAAAAAAGATATTGAATAATAAACTGTTATTTAGTAGTATTAAACTGATTAAAATACATATGTAAATAGTTTTATAAGATTCAAACTTAAATTACAATAACTATAATTGGAATTATCTATTGAATTTATTCAAAATAATTAAAATTGAGATTTTTATAATACCTATTTATCAGTTATTAGTTTTGTAAATTTTCTAGAGATATGTATACATTTTTCTTAACTTTTTAAACTTGTCTACAAACAAGAAAAAGATGATTTCTTTACCTTTATATCTCATTCCATTATTGTCAAGAGACTCTGAAAAAAGACAACGGTTGAAAAAGAGAAGGGTATGATGGTAAAAAGGATGGTCGGGCACAAAGAGCAGCTTATATAAAGGCCACAAGACGATCACACAAACATGCACTCGCATGATAGATATCTCCTCTCCTTCTTCACCGCTTCAGACGAAACTCTTTTCTCTGAGAAAAAAAAACAAGAACTTATCCGACCAAAGGTAATCTACCCTTCTCACTCTTTTCTTATAGGTTTATCCATTGATAAAGTTGTGTCCTTTAAATATTTTATGGGTCTGATCATTGAAATTAGATTACTATGACCAACACATAATCTAATCCGTATTGGTCTGATTCTGTGATAGATGATCATCGAATCAATCTGTTTTATGGATCTCTTTGCACTTGTGAATGGTTTCTCTTTGCACTTGTGAATGGTTTCTCTTGTACTATTAGTGTCTCAATTACATCCCCCAGTATCAATCAATGTTGTGCAGAATATTTGATTTGAGCCTTCTTGAGATTTAATCTTTAATAAAAGGTTTTGAATTTGATTTTAATGGTTTGATGTTAACATTATTGTAGCAGGAGAAGATGCCTAAGGAGAGACGAGTATTGTCAGTGACAAGCAACAGGACCAGAGTATCACCATACCCACTTCGCTCTTCAAGGACCAAGAAAGAGGAAGAACCTGAGTTACCTATCCAGACAGAAGGCCCAACCCAATGGGAAGATGTCCGGTGTGTAATCTGCCAGGAACCGCCACACAATGCCGTCCTCTTGCGTTGCTCTTCCTCCTCCACTGGATGCCGTGCTTACATGTGCGACACGAGTGCTCGTCACACCAATTGTTTCAAGCAGTACCGTGTAAAAAACAGGAACCGCAGAACCAAGGCCTTGAGCTGTCCTTACTGCAGAGGAGAGGTTTACGAGACGATGAAAGTGTCTGGTGCAGTGAAATATATGAACGCTAAACCGAGGTGTTGCACTTTCGAGGGCTGCGAATTCTCGGGGAGTTATTCACAGCTTAAGAGTCACTTGAAAGCTAAACACCCTGGTTTCACCGGATATGTGGTGGACGAGAGGAGACATAGGGAGTGGGAGCTGATGCAGAGAGCTGCAGAGTACAGAGAAGTGTTGGCTGCAGCTGGTATTCCCCATAGACCTGACGCTGTGACGCAATACAGTCTTCCTCAAAATCCGGTGACCGAGGTGAATGGAGTAGTGCATGGCCATATTCCATACCCTCGTCCTCAATACCGTTATCCTCCTAATCCGGTGGTTCGTATCAGCCTTCAGCTTAGCCTTTCTTTGGGGGTCTCATAGCTTTTGAATATTTGTTCAAAGTTTTTGATGTCTCATAGCTTTTTTCTTCATGTTTCAGCAGCATCCATAATGTTTAAATCACCATCATTCTTTAGGCTATATTCAGCGGTTTCAACCCAAAAACAAAGTTGTATCTACAGCTAGAAATACTTTATATCTGCTAGGCTCTTTTTTTTTTCTCAAAGTTCGATCTTTAAATGTTTTACATCTCTCGGAAAATCTTAAGCACGGTTAGTGCCATCCAAAGATGGGCTTAAGATGGAGTGTGGTTATCAGCCATATAATGAAGAGCTGTTTGAAAATTTTGTGTGTGCTCTTTAAAGGTGATGGTAAAACATGATCCTGCTAAAACGTTCGAATATTAAAGCTATGTACTGAAGTAATACAAAGAGCAGTTACCGCTTAAACGACGTCATTCCTACACTAACATTTGCCCTGGTTCTGCTGAGCCTGATTAAAACCCATCTTCCTCTATGCAATTACTTGCAACAAAGAAAAAAAATCTCTTCCGACTCATCCATCTTATGAACTATTATATCCCCAACTTGTTGACCTTGATCAACTTCTTGAATAATAGATATTAAAATTGAAAATTTGAGTATTACTTCTTAGAAAATAAAAAAGAAGTAAGAACTGATACTCCATTGTACATCTAAACGGTAATTAGTTCGTGAACTTTGTAAAAGCTAGGTTGATTGCTTGTGGTTTTTGTTTTAGTTTTTGGTTTTTTTTTTTTTTTTTTTGACATAACCATTTTTCTTTCAATCAATTTTTTGTTTTTACTTTTTACTTTTGTAAAATCCATTTTTCTTGTCAATCAAGTTTTTAAATAAATAGATTCCCTAAAATTTAGAGAAACTAGTTTTTCAAAATTTTAACCAATTTGTAAAGAAAAGCCAAAAACAACTTTGTGGGTTTTTAATACAAAAACAAAATTTATTTACTTTTATAGAAAATTTATATTTTAATTAAATAAATAATATTTTCATAAAGATAAAGTATCCATACAAATTTCTGTAGATAATATATCATTTAAACCTTAATTCGAAATAATTTATTTGTGTTTCATTTATGTCAGTAAATTGGATATTTTTTTATATAACATTATTTAATTGTAAACAACTAGTTATTAATTTATACAAAATAAGTTATTAATTTCTATAAAAATTCATTTATTAACTGTAATAATTATTAGACACACGAAAAAATAATTTAAAATTATAAAAATTTAATTATTTTATCAATAGAATGTATAGTTTTAATTATAAAATAGCCCTTCAGGTTTATAAAAACATACAATAAAATTTATAAATAGTTTCAATTTTTTTTTTAAAAAAAAATTATAATTTCAAGATATTTTATTATTTATATTTTAGTATAATATTTAAAAATAAAATAATTTTAAAAATGTTAATGTATTTTTATTTTAAATACAATCACTCTATTTTGATAAATTTCAAGGGTAACTTATTAATATTTTATTAATTTTTATTATTATTTTAAGAAAATGTATTGATTATTTTTTGAAACTAAAATACCGAAAAACCAAAAACCAAATCAAAAAACTAAGGTGATGATTGTTCTGATGGTTTTTTAGTTTTTATTTTTTGGTTTCTAGTTTTTAATTTTTGAATTTTGGTTTTTGATTTTGGTGTAGCTTTTAGTTTTTTGAAAAATTTGAATGGTGATTTTAGATTTTGGTTTTTATTTTTTTAATTATTAACGTAGAATATTATTAAAACTAGAAATGATCATTTTGGACTAGTAGAAATACTAATATCACCAAAAATACATAAACATGTTTTATACAATTCAAATATAATTTAAATATTATAAAACATGTATTAATTGCTAGATTGAAAATACATACAATAAACTACACATTAAATGAGTAATACTTATAATTAAGAATATAATTAACTTAACTAAAAGTTTATAACACAAATATAGTAGTGTAATAAACAATTATTTCCTACTAATCTAGCTACAAATATTAGTAGGTACTAATGCACAATTGGCTAACTTTGAACAGTTAATTTTTTTTTATTGATAGATTTAATTTTTATGAGTTTTTTTATAATTTATTATACTAAATTAAAAATATGACCATCAGTTCATTATTAGATAAAATATAATTAAAATATTATAATAGTTTTAGTAAAATCAACTTGTATTATAATAGGCATAGATGTAAAATCCTCACATATATGTGCTCAGGGATTATTATCAGCAATTAAGGTTTAAGAATGTCTTATGTAGAGATGTCCTATATATTATTATTAGTATCAGTTCCCAAAATATCTTACGTATAGTTTCTTTTAAGTTTTAACTGATGTCTTACGTCTATTTATATTTGTAGCGAAGAAATAAAGAAAAAATATTAAGCAGAAAATAGAAAAGTTGGTTTTTGATTTTTGTTTAGAAATAAACAGTTATTTAAAAATCTACTTTCCCTAGATTTTAAGAAATCCATTTTTTCAAAAAAACTTGATTGGAAAAAAATTGGTTTTTGAAAAAACAAAAATTAAAAGCTATTCTAAAAGCTGGACTTAAAACCAAAAACTAAAAATCGAAAAAAACCTAAAAACCTAAAATCAAAATCTAAAATTAAATCTAAAAAGTAAACATTGAAACTAAAAATAATGCAAACAATTATCACTTTAATGTTTTAAAATTCGATCTGGACACTGAACCAAATTATTTATTAGATCATTGTGTCATACCTTGGACCAATAGTGTAGTTAATTTTAACATATAGTTCTATGTAACTACTGATAATATGAGAAAAATTACAGGTTATAAAACATATACCAAATATTTAGATTTTATTTTCATTTCACAATAAATTTATCAAAAAGCATTTGTATTGTTAAAATTTTACCTTTGACAAGCTAGGAGCTATGACATAGAATAAAAATATTTTGTTTTAAATTCCGTATGTGAATAATAAAATAAATCCAAAATAATCAAAAACAAAATGTTAATATTGTAATAGATTGCCAATACAAAAAAATAAATCAATCTTAGATCATATCAACTACTAAAATAATTCAGTGAGGATTATATATGATTAAAAAAAATCAAAAAGTTCAATTAAAATGTTAAAACATATCATCAAGTTTTTTTTGGTTTGTCTCTTCATAGTATTTGAGACTTTTAAAAAAAATCTACCATGAAATTTTTCTTAGAATAACTAAAAATGGTAATTAAAGGTCTTCCATGAGTTCGATGGAGAGACAAATCCTGGATTTTTGTGAGTTTTTGTAAGTTATTTGTTTCCTGATGAAATTCATTCTAATGAAATACAAGAATTAATATATAAATTGGTGGCAAACGAAATAAACCCCAAAACCTTTTTTTTTTTTTTGTAAACTTCATTCTTAAATTTAAAAAAGACCGAAAATGTTACAAAAGCCCTTGGACTTTAGTTTCTTTTACTAACCCATTCTTGAATCACAATAGTTAAGGCCCAAATCCTATAGAGAAACCCATCAGGATAGTTGTGCAGGTAGAGAGGTGAGAGATAGTCGACGGTTAAGTTTCTTTTGACTGAGAAACCAAAGTATCATTCATGCCGGATCCAACACTGCATCATTGCCGAAGATTTGGTTGGATTGCTTTCCCTAAAGCTCTGCATCTTGTTCTTAAGTTGGCGATCTATTAGCTTGAAGAGTTGATGATAGGATCAGTAGTTGTTTGCATGAAGTCTTGTATTCCTTTCTCCCCAAAGCCAATACATTGTCGCTTGCCAAGCTAAGAGTATAAGAAGTCGGTGCGGTTGTGGTGCAGGCAAAGTAGTCATCTGATCTAGAGTTCCCGACCAGTTCCAAAGAGGTAAAAGTCGTAATCTTGCAGTAACTAGTTTCCACAAGTCATAGCTGTAGTTACATGAGAAGAAAAGATGATCCCTTGATTCTTGTTGCAGGTTACAGAGTAGACAACGGTCATCCACCTGAATTCCCCATTGCAACATCCTATCACGAGTCGGGATTCGATTTTGGATAACTAACCAGACGTGGAAGATGTGTCTCGGAATGGCTCGATAGATCCAAACAACTCTAGACCAAGGAACATCTGGGCTCGGCTGAGAGAGGTATTCATAAAGAGTACATGTTTTGAAGCTTGTGTAGGTTTTTCCATATATTTCCTAGTCATAGTAATCCTGATTTGTAGTCAATTGCACTGTTGTTAGGTAGACATACAATTGCAGTTGCGCGTCTGTTCTAGCCGGTGGAAGAGACCAGATTCCATTATGACATAACGAAGAGACAGTGTTCTGAGCAGGTATCCCAAATATAGATCCAGTGCCTGAAAGAAAAGTAGAAAGATCACCAAAAGGTGACCAGTTATCTGACCAAAATTTTGCCATTTCCCCATTTTGTAGCCTGAGCTTTATCAGAGGGAAAACGACACCCTTAAGTTTGAGGAGTTTGTTGACCAGCCAGGAGTAGGATTGCTTTGGCGCTGTAATCCAATAGTCGTGGACTGAACCATTAAGAATCACCTCCTTGAACCACTAAACCCATACTGATGCTGGTCTAAAGAATAGTAGCCATACAAGTCTAAGAGTGCATGCTTTATTCCAGGTACGCAAATCCTTCACTCCGAGTCCTCCTTGCCTTTTTGTCAACACCACTGTGTCCCAAGATACTCGTGCTGTGTTGTGACCTTCTAAACTTCCTTTCCACAGGAACAAACTATAGAGAGAGAGAGTTGATTCTAGAGATGCAAGCTTTGGGAAGGATAAAAGCCGAACACCAGAAAGTTGTGATGCCTGCTATAACCGTTTTGATAAGGAGCAGCCTACCAGAGAAAGAGAGTGTCTTGACGGACCAAGAGGAGAACCGAGTCTTGATTTGGTGTATCAAAGGTTCACAGTTTGTGAGAGATAGCTTCTTAAAGTTCAGCGGAACACCTAAATAACGAAAAGGCAGTGATCCGAGAGCCATGCCTGTAGAAGCTTGTATCAGGTCAGTTTCTTCGTGTGATAATCCTGATGC